GGTTTCTCTGTGTAGCTTTGCACCTTTCCTGGAACTCACTTGGTAGTCCAGGCTGGCCTCGAACTCACAGAGATCCGCCTGGCTCTGCCTCCCGAGTGCTGGGATTAAAGGCGTGCACCACCATCGCCCGGCCCTCCCCTAAGTTTTTAAGGGCAGCCATCACTGGAGTAGAAGGCCCCTCCTCCCTGTAGAGTGGGACATCCATCCCTTCTAGGGACCTCCCCTTTGCAGAAGGGGATCCTGTCCCTCTGAGGGCAGCTCTTTTTCAGTGCCCTAGTTTCTCACACCTGTGGCAAGAACTTGCCCCTTTAGAATCCTTCCTTTGGCCTGGAGTTTCTGAGGTCGTAGGTTATTAACTGCCCGGGAAATTCATTCTTTCCCAGGGCTCAGTGTAACAGCTGGGCTTGTTCTTGATCTACAAGTAGTTTCCTCTAGGCCTTTGGACCTTTCTATGTCAACGTCCCATAAAACAAATCTACACGTGAACTTGGAGTGTCTAGGGCCTGATGACTTCTGCACTTCTTCCCACTGTCTGCAACAGATTCGCTGGAGAAATAAGCATCTAGCAACTATCTGACCTTAGGAAGCATTTTAATACTGCTGATTACAGTGAACATAATCATGTGTGTACTGTCTAAGTTGGCTCCCATACATCTCATGACTCATTTCCACCTTCTACAATATGTTTTCCCTTTTTCATTTTATTTTATGTGTATGGGCATCTGCCTGCATGTATGTCTGTGCACCACATGTGTGCCTGGTACCTGTGGAGGCCAGAAGAGGGTGTCAGACCCCCTTGAACTGAAGTTACAGATAATGTGAGCTGCCATATGGGTGCAGAGAATCAAACCCAGGTCTTCTGGAAGAACAGTCAGTGCTCTTAACTGCTGAGCCATCTGACCAGCCCAGTATACTTCCATTTTAGAACAATATTAGAGAACAAGACTGACATTTAAAATCCTTTTGTATCTTAAAAGGTTTTCCTTAACCTTCTTCACCAAACCCATATTTTGTGCCAATAACTTTGTTTTTCTTTTAGACAAGGTCTCAGTATATTGCCCTGCCTGGCTTGGAACTATCTGTGTAGACCAGGCTAGCCTCAAACAAACAGAGATCTGCCTGCCTCTGCCTCCTGATGGCTGGAATTAATAGCCTACACTACCATGCTTGGCTTGCCAATAAATTTTTTTTATTTTTTATTTTTTGAGACAAGGTCTCTGTACATATCCCTGGCTCTCCTGGAGCTCATTATGAAGACTGGGCTGGCCTCAAAATCACAGATCTGCCTGCCTTAGCTTCTCAAGTGCTGGGATTAAAGGTGGCCAATAATTTTTATGTCTCTTCATTTATTTAATAGTTTCCTTTTTTTCTTTTTGTTATTGAAAATAATTTTTTTCATGCAGTATAATCCGGTCAGTTTCCCTTCCCCTCCCACCTTTCCACTCAGCCAGATCCACACCTTCTTCCTCTTCAGAAAACAAACAGGCAAAATTAAAAAAATAAAAAATAAAGAAGAGCACAACAAACACACACAAAGACACAGGAAAACACAAGCAAAATACTAGTAAGATTGAAAAAAAAATACCCAGACAAAGCAGAATGAGACAAAATCTCTCCAAAAGCACTATCGAGTTCATTTTATGTTCCTGTCTGCCGATAGGATGGTTCCTATACCGATGCTTCAGATCATCTACAAGTGGTTCGTACACCCAGTGAGACTCCATTGGAGAAAACCAATGCTTCCTTTGCAAGAGGTTGTCAGTTGCAAATAGCTTCCTGGTTAGGGGTGGGAGCTCGTGTCCACTTTCCCCCTCAGGGCTGGGACCCCGTCTGGCTTGGGTCTGTGCGTGCTGCCACAGTCTCTGTGAGTTCATATGCGCATCACTCCTGATGTATCCGGAAGCCACTGTTTCCTTGGTGTCTTCCCATCTCTGCTCTTAGAATCTTTGCTGTGCTTCCTCTTCCGCAGAGTTACTTAATGGTTTCTTTTTATCTTATCTTTAGGGGAAAAAATTTTTTTTTCTTAACACTGTAACTGTCTTCAGAAGAAAACACTGGAAGCTTAGCCAGGGCAGATCTAAAGTGGACACTTACTCAGCACTTAAGAGAAACTGCAGAAGAGGGGACAGCCAGGACAGCCTTAATTTGGGTTTTTTGTTTGTTTGTTTTGTTTTGTTTTTGAGACAGGGTCTTTCTATGTAGCCCTCACTGTCCTGGAATTAGCTATATAGACCAAGCTAGTTTCCAACTCACAGAGATTCCCCTGCCTCTGCTTCCCAAGCGCTGAGTGCTGGGATTTAAGGCAAGTGCCACCATGCTTGACCTTGTGTTTGTTTGTTTGTTTGTTTTGGCCTTGATTAGCCTGTTATTTTGGTCTTGATTATTCTGATCCTTGAGGATGTCCCCCAGTAGGGAAAGAAACAGAAAGCAAGCTTGCTAAGATGATACACACACACACACACACACACACACACACACACACACACACACACCCTAAGTGGTACATGATAAGAAGCAGAGGAAGAGGCTGGGAAAATGACTAAGCAGTGTAGAACACTAGAACGCTTGTTACTTTTACAGAAGACGCAGGTTCAATTCGCAGAAGGCCCATGGTGGCTCACTACCGTCTGTAACTTTAATTCCAGAAGATCTGATGCCCTCTTCTGGCCTCCCAGGCATGCACGTGGTATGCTGACACACTTGCAGGCAACACATAGAATACATAGAAAATGAATCTTTATTATTTTTTAACATAACACTAATTGAGAGCTGGTATCGCTTATAACTTCATTAGGAAGTGGGTACTAGGTTTTTTGTTTTGTTTTGTTTCAAATGTATTTATTTTTATTTTATGTGCATTGGTTTTTTTGCCTGCATGTATACCTGTATGAGGGTGTCAGATCCCCTGGAACTGGAGTTATAGACAGATGTGAACTGCCATGTGGGTGCTGGGAATTGAACCTGGGTCCTCCAGAAGAGCAGTCAGTGGTGCTCTTAACTGCTGAGCCATCTCTCCAGCCCCATAAAATGAATCCTTTTTTAAAAAAAAAAAAGATGCAGAGGAAAAGAAGAGAGAATCAGTTTGGATCCAGTACCCCTACTGCCCCTCCCACAGCTCCAACCACACACACCATGCACATGTCTGGTAGGATGCGATGCCCTCTTCGGTCACCCCAGAATGAAAGTTTTTAAAAATTAGGAACAGGCTGGAGAGATAGTTCAGCAGTAAAGAGCAGTGGCTGCTCTTCCAGAGGACCTGAGTTCAATTCCCCAAACCCACATGGCAGCTCCCAACCATCTGTAACTCTAGTTCCAGGGGATCCAGTGCCCTCTTCTGACCTCTACAGTCACCAGACACACACATGCTATACATACACACATGTAGGCAAAACACCCACACATAATAAAATCAAATTAAATAAGTAAATCTTTAAAAATAAAACTAAAAAGCCTTGGGTGAGGATCAGAGCTCAGGGCTACAAAGGGAATTTGAAGTCTAGGCCAGAAAGCATGTCTCAGAAATAAGCAAATATTTAATCTCAGCACTCAGGAGCCAGAGGCAGGAGGATCTCAGTGAGTTCAAGGCCAGCCTGGTCTACACAGAGAGTGCCAGGATAGCCAGAATTACATAGAGAGACCCACCACCGTGCCCGGCACTAGTCATGTTTTATCAGAGAGAAATAGCCTTCCCTCAATGGGCCTCAACAAAGACTGGCTATCCGACCTTTCTCTCTTGCATATGGTACTTTAAATCTTAAGAAGGGGAGTTGTCATGTCCCTCCCTCCTTTTACGTAGCATTTTAAGTTCTAAGAAGGTCAATGGTGATATTGCAAACCCTCTAAAACTTACTGTTATTAGGGAAATAGGACACAGGGTTCAAAATTGGTGTGTGTGTGTGTGTGTGTGTGTGTGTGTGTGTGTGTGTGTCCATTCTCACAGTCCCCAAGGCTGCTGAGCCTAACTAGGTACCTGACACTCACCCTCCTCCTCCTCCTCCTCCTCCTCCTCCTCCTCCTCCTCCTCCTCCTCCTCCTCCTCCTCCTCCAGACTTTGCGAATCCCTGTGGATCAGATCCAGGGCAGGAATGAGCCTCCTGGCTGCACATCACCAATAGCACAGGTCTTCAGGTGGTAAGGAACCACCAAGAGGCTCCTCCTTCCTGCCTTTTAAACTACCCAGCATCTGTTAGGTTCTACTTCTCCCTGGTGACAGAAGCCGGGCATAGCCTGTCACTCCCATTCTACAGAAAAGGAAGCCACAGCCCAGAGAGGGCAAAGGGCCTTCCTGAGGCTACATAATCAATGGCTATTTTGGAGAGCTGGGCCATGCTTCATTTTTGTTCCTCAATGCCCTGCCCCTCCTCGTGACCCGCAGAGACGCTCACCCTGCCCTGCTTTATGAGGCAGCAGCCAGGCTCTCCGTGATGCATTATTCAGCTTCCCAGGGTTGGCCAGCTCCCGTTACACTGGCCACAGCCCTGGACACCTGCTTCTCACTTCCAGTTCCCCTCCAAGGTGATGTAGTGGGTTGTGAGTACCCTATCCTAGCCTCAGGAGACCTGACTCCACTTTGGGCCCATGCAGGTGGTCTAGGGCAGATGACGTCCCCCTCTGAAGGTTAATGTCCCCTCTGTTAAGTGACCATTCTCTTTGGAGCTTAGCCAGCTAGGACACAGGAAGGCTTAGCCAGAGTCAGCAAGTTGTTGCCATGGAGACTCTAAAGCCAGGCTGCTGCCCAGCACAGGCCTCCCAGTCTACCCCCACTAGAAAACAACACCCAAGCACTTTCCACCACCTCTCAAAGGTGAAACCCAAGGCTAGTCTAGTGGATGAATTATGGATCCTGCCTCTCTACGCCACCCAGCTAGTCCCAGCTGCTCAGACACTGAGGAGACTTAGGTCTAGTCACAAGCAAGAAGACCTAGCTGGTCTCCAAGCAGTGCCTCCAAGGCCCTGAACCTGTGACACCAACCCCAGGCCCATCAGGCACAGAGGCCACCATGGCGAAAGAGGAAGATGAAGAGAAGAAAGCTAAGAAAGGAAAGAAGGGCAAGAAGGCCCCGGAGCCGGAGAAACCCAAACGCAGCCTGAAGGGCACCTCTCGGCTGTTCATGGGCTTCCGAGACCGCACGCCCAAGATCTCCAAGAAGGGTCAGTTCCGGAGCGCATCGGCCTTCTTCTGGGGCCTCCACACTGGCCCGCAGAAGACCAAACGCAAGAAGAAGGCCCGTACTGTACTCAAGTCTACATCCAAGCTCATGACGCAGATGCGTGTGGGCAAAAAGAAGCGGGCGATGAAGGGAAAGAAGCCCTCGTTCATGGTGATCCGCTTCCCGGGACGGCGTGGCTACGGCCGCCTGAGGCCTCGTGCCCAGTCGCTTAGCAAGGCATCCACAGCTATTAACTGGCTGACCAAGAAGTTCCTCCTCAAGAAGGCGGAGGAGTCAGGCAGTGAGCAGGCCACGGTGGATGCCTGGCTCCAGCGCTCAAGCTCCCGAGTCGGCTCGCGTAAGCTGCCCTTCCCGTCGGGCGCTGAGATCCTGCGGCATGGCGGCCGGCTCCGCAGGTTCCCCCGCAGCCACAGCATCTACTCATCCGGGGAGCCCGTGGGCTTCCTGCCCTTTGAGGACGAAGCCCCATTCCGCCATGCAGGCTCCCGCAAGTCGTTGTATGGGCTTGAGGGCTTCCAGGACCTGGGTGAATATTATGACTACCACCGTGAAGGCGACGACTACTATGACCAGCAGTCGCTACACCATTACGAGGAGCAGGAGCCCTACTTGTCTGGGTTTGGTGCATACAGCCCAGCCTGGCCACCCTATGACGACTACGGGTACCCATCCGGAGACCCGTACAACTACTACCATCCTGACTACTATGGTGACACCCTCTACCCCGGCTATGGATATGGCTATGGCTACGATGATTTTGAGCCCCCGTATGCGCCCCCATCAGGGTATTCATCTCCTTACAGCTACCACGACAGCTTTGAGGAGGAGGCCTACCCATACAGCTACTACCTGGATCCCTATGCACCTCACCACATGCTGTATCCGCCCTATGACTTTCCATATGACACTCCTTATGACATACCCTACTTCGATCCCTATGGCGTTCCCTATACTGAAGGCATCTATGGTGGTGGAGCTGAGGCCATCTACCCCCCTGGGGTGCCCTATGTATATCCAGAAGAGCCAGCTTTTATGTACCCCTGGGTGCCACCACCCATATTGTCGCCCCACAACCCATATGCCTACCCTATGGATGACATTGCAGAGCTGGAGGAGCCTGAAGAAGTGGGTGGAGAACGGCAGAGCACCTCCTTCCGCCTTCCCAGTGCCGCCTTCTTTGAGCAGCAAGGCATGGACAAGCCAGCCAGATCCAAGCTGTCCCTCATCCGGAAGTTCCGCCTCTTCCCCCGGCCTCAGGTGAAGCTGTTTGGGAAGGAGAAGCTAGAGGTGCCCCTGCCACCCTCTCTAGACATCCCTTTACCTTTAGGGGATGCAGAGGGAGAGGATGAAGAGGAGGAGATGCCTCCAGTGCCCACGATGCCCTACACCCACCCTTACTGGAGCTTCCTCACACCACGCCAGCGAAACCTGCAACGGGCCCTGTCAGCCTTCCGTGCCCGCCAAGGCCTAGGCTTTGGCCCTGAGTTTGGCCACCCAACACCACGCCCAGCCACCTCACTGGCACGGTTCCTCAAAAAGACCCTGTCAGAAAAGAAGCCCATCCCACGGCTCAGGGGCAGCCAAAAGGCCCGAGGGGGACGGCCCGCGGTCAGGGAAGCAGCCTACAAACGCTTTGGCTACAAGCTGGCCGGCATGGACCCTGATCGGCCCAACACACCCATTGTGCTGAGACGCAGTCGGCCACAGGCTCGAAACAACAACAACTCCCACGGCCCACCCTCACCCAGGCCCACGCCACGGACCCTCACCCACTGGAGTGCACTCATCTCCCCTCCAGTGCCTGGGCCATCTCCCAGCCCTGGCCCACCGCCAGCTCCGCCCTTCTCTCCAACCCTTTCCAGGCCTCCACGGCTAGCTTCCCCCTACAGCTCACCCTATGGCTCCCTCCGCCAGCATCCACCACCCTGGGCTGCCCCAGCTCATGTGCCCTTTACACCCCAAGCAAATTGGTGGGGCTTTGCTGAGCCCCCTCCTCTGAGCCCAGAGGTTAACCCTGACCTTCTGGCCTTTCCTGTACCCCGGCCCTCTTTCAGAGCTTCCCGCAGTCGAGGGGCAGCTTTTGGCTTCCCCAGGGCTTCTCTGATAGGGTCAAGGAGAAGGCCCAATCTGCCCTCACCCCAACCCTCTTTGAGGAGCCTGCCAGGGCAAGGCTACCACTCACCTTTGGGGCCATTGTCTCCTCAGCTATCCCTCCGAAGGGGCCCCTTCCAGCCACCCTTCCCACCCCCTCCACGAAGGCCTCAGTCACTTCGGGAGACCTTCTCTCTGCATCGAGCCTCTGGTCGCCTGCGCCCACCCCGCTCACCAGGGCTAGGTCCTCGCCGACCACCGTCACCACCCCCACTCCTGAACCATGGTCCCCGGCACCGGTCCCTCAACCTGCCCTCACGCCTTCCACGGACTTGGCGGCGCCTCAGCGAGCCACCTACTCGGGCTGTGAAGCCATGGGTACATAGGCCCTACCACCCACCACCCAGTGCTGGACCCTGGGCCACAGGGTCTTTGGAGCACCAAGAGAACCAGCATGAACCAGAAGACTCAGAGACGCCTTGGACAGTGCCCCCATTGGCCCCCAGCTGGGATGTGGACATGCCTTCAACACAGCGCCCACCTTCCCCATGGCCAGAAAGGGCAGGCAGCCTTAGAGGCTTCTCCAGGACTTCTCCTGTGCCTGAAAACCCCTTGCATGAGCACATGAGCCCTGTGCATGAACCACAGCCTGAGGACCAAGCCTCCAATCTAACTGGTATCTTCCTGAGCCAACACCATGACCCAGGGCCTGGGCAACTCACTGAGTCAGCCAGCCCAAGCTTGGAGAATCCTGAAGAAGCAGTCACCCCAGGGGACCCTCAGCCACCAGCTGAGCCTGAGACCCTGAACCCAACACCTCCCAACAAAAATATTTGCTCAGAGAGGAAGGATTTACAACTCAGCCTCTCATACCCACTGGTCACACATAAGCAGGCAAGGGCTACGTGGCCACTATGGCGCCGCTGGAAGACATTGTCCAGAACCCCATCTCCCTTGGCCCCCACCAGAGCCCCAGGACCCTTGTTCAAGGCAGGGGAGAAACCCCAGGCTGAGCCTGGGCGGTTTGCGGTCGTCTTGCCTCAAGTACGAGGGCTGAGCTCCTTCCAGCGAAAAGGGTCTGCTCCCCTGCAGCCTCCAGAGCATCCAGACCAAGACCCAGAGCATGGCCCAGCACCTAAAGCCTGTAGTCTACGCTGGTCCCGCCTCTGGCCACCAACAGATGCTCACTGTCCCTGGCCACGAGTACAAACCCACTCCTTTCAATCCTACCTCCGGGGCCGTAGAAGTGACTGCCTGTCTCAAAGGGGCCCCTGGAAAAAGCCTGGCCCCCAAAGCTGGCAGAACAAGGTATGGGGACACAAGTCAGAGGGTGGGATTGGGAGTTCTGGCCTAAGACCCAGAACGGGAGGTGGCCTGAGGAGGCATGGGCAGCCTCGGCAAGTGGTTGTCTACATGGACTTCAGTCTCCCTTCTGAAGGTGAGGAGAACTGCAGGGCATCTAGGGGTTGCACAAAGGAGTGTCCAGCATAGGCAGGCCCTGGATTAAAGGACTAGATGAAGGTAGACGTACAGGATCCTACTTTCTGACTGTCTCATGGCAGAGTAGGGAAACTGAGTCCCAGAAGCCAGGAGTCTGTGGGTTATAGGCAGGCAGTCTGTCTCAGGGAGCCCAAGTCCATGACTGGCATCGGCATACATGGGGGAAGGTGATCTGGATGCTGGGTGGCCCTTGGAGGAGGTAGATGATCACTCTAGCCTCCCTGGGGACACCCAGAAGGGGTGGGGCAAGCAGTGATAGGCGGTACTTCATCTCTGCAGACCGTGCCCACAGAGCAGGCAACAAGCTGGCCTAGCAATGGCAACCGGGGCAGCCTGGCTGCTAGGGGGACCCTGGCCCCGGCGACGGGTGCCCCGGGCTGTGTGGGCCGCAGCATTGCAGGAGCGGGGCACAGGGTGCCCAGGGGTGAGGGGCAAGGATGCCTGGGCCCTCCTCACTCTGGAATACGTGAGTGGCTGAATTATTCAGGGTCTGTGGCCGCTGGCAAGCACGTGAGCAGATGGGTGGGCTGGAGGCCAGGGCAGGAAGGGTTGATACTTGCTGCGCCCTACTTAACAACAGCGTGAGGCAAGCCGCGGGCAGGCCCTCTTGTATCCTCTTTCCTTGCCTAGGGAGGGTACAGCTGGGATGGGAAAGGCCAAGGCTGCCTATGTGTATGCTCGCAGTGACCCAGAGCCTTGCAGGTCGGTGTGCCTGAATGTGGATGAGTAAATACCAGGGACAAGCAAGGAGAGCAGGTGTGTGCCAAGTCTGAGCAGACATGGCATCCATGGAGATGTGGGCTATCGGCCTACCCTTTGAGTGGGCACATACATGTGTACATAGAAATGGACACTGGGGAGATCCTTCAACCCCAAGCTGGCATCAGGACTCCCACTCTCAAGATCCTCAAGGTGGGAGGACCGTAGCCGCCGCCCACAGGTACATTCCAAGTGGATGTTGAGAATATCGATATGAGTGTGTGCCCCCAGTCGAGCACATGGGCGTGCACATAGCCACAGCGTACGGAAAGACCACAGATATGCACGGGAGCTGTGAGAACTGCAGTACCACTCCAGTAGGTCCGTGTGTAGGATTTACACACTTCCCCTGGGCAGGAGGTGGTTCTATGCCAGGACAGCCTCCATCTTTGTCTTTCCAGAGGCCTCATGCGCCATGACACAGGTCATCAAGCTGTCCCACAAGCCAACACACGGGATCTGTGGGGAGCAGGGTAGGGGGGACACTGAGAGGACAGAGGTGGGGGAGGGGACAGACACTTGTGTACGTGGTTGTGAATGTATCTGTGTGTGCTCGCTCCCTGAGCAGGACACTTGTGGCGCATAGGCATGCTCCCCCAAGATACTTTACACACAGACTCACGTCCCTGTGTGTGACGGTTGTACACAGTCTTCATGGGCCACTGCACTCTGAGACAAAGAGGCTGGAAGACCCCCCAGGATCTAATCCTGAAGTTCCTCTAGGACCATGGGAGCAGCTGCCTGGTGTGTCCAAGCCAGGGTCTGCCCAGGCCTCCAGCGTGTCCCTCTTTCTCACAGATGCACTCCATACGCAACCTGCCTTCTGTGCGGTCCCGTGAGCAGCACAGGGAAGATGGTGTAGAGGACATGACGCAGCTTCAGTAAGTGGGTGGGGTAGGGGGACGTCCTAGTGGGATTCCTGAACTCCCAACCCCGAAGGACACGTCCAGAGCCTCAGTTTCCCCATTGGCAAATAGTGTCATGAAGTGTTGCAAAAGCCAAGTGTGTGCGTATCAAAGCTGTGTGAGTTAGACAGTCCTTGGTTCAGATCCCACCCTTACAATTTACCAGCTGTGCAGCCATGGACCTATCGTTTCTCTGCTCTGTGCCTCAACTTCTCATCCACAAGGGAGGTATGATGGGCAGCTGCTGTGAAATGATGACAGATGTCGTAAAGCCCTAAAGCTCTCCCACCATAGTAATTCAGCCTCAGGTCTTCTGCCTCAGTGCCCACCAGGGTCCCACAAAGTGGGTTTGAGGTTTGCTACCCCATTGAACAGATGAAGAAACTGAGGCATAAGAAGATGAACGATCTTGCCCAAGACTCATAGCTGGTCAGTGGCAGACACACCTGACCATGACACCATGCCAAGTAGGGTGGAGCCTGTGCCAGGACTGGAGACCCTCACAGTACCTCATGTCCTTCCAGAGACCTCCAAGAGACTACTGTGCTATCCAACCTAAAGACCAGATTTGAACGAAACCTCATCTATGTAAGTCTGGGGCTTGCCAGCCCAAGGACCTCCTTGGATTCTAGACTAGAGGTGGCCAGAAGGGTGGAAGGGAACCTGTGACCTCAGAGCGAAGGGACAGAGGGCCTGAGGCCTGGAGCCACTTCTGAAAGACATGTATACCTGTAAAGGCTTTGATGACTTCAAGGCACATGTGCTACTGCTTCTCTGTTCTAGACAGTGGAGGTTGACCTTGGCATGGAGCAGACATGCCTGCAGCCTGGGCCTGACCATGAATAAATGAGGTGGGCAGGAGATTACATGCCATCTTGGCCTGATTAAGGCCAAAGAGCCTGGTTCTGTTCACATTCACAACTTCAGCCTGTGCAGAGCCTAGGACTCCATTAGAGCACAGGCCCTCTTGAGCTGTAGAGGGTTAGATGATAGAGTGAGGCCGGGGAGGCACACATATGTCCCATTGGAAAGGGACTCCTTGCTCCAAAGCAGGAAGAGGGAGCCATAGATGCCCATGGCAACCATGACGCTAAAGTCCCCGTCTATCAGCAGACCTATATCGGCAGCATTCTGGTGTCGGTGAACCCATACCAAATGTTTTCGATCTACGGGCCAGAGCAGGTGCAGCAGTACAGCGGGCGTGCCCTAGGAGAGAATCCCCCGTGAGTATCTGTGGGATGCAGAGGAGTTGCCCTAGGGTGACCTAGGTCCATTTCTGAGCTTGGGGAGCCCCTGGATGCCTTTCAGCCATCAGTTGGGGATGAGTGGGAGTAGGCAACCCACAACTCAGCGCAGTCTCTCCCCAGGCTTGGGACAGTCCTCTCTAGAGGCCACTGTAGCTCTAACTGGGGGTGAGAGGTGGGTACCACTGGCTGCTTGGATGAACAGAGATACCCCTTCCCCTAACCCCTGGCAGTCTTGGGACTATGGGAACTGACCATCAGAGACAGTGATGCCTAGTGCCCTGTCTCACCAGGCACCTCTTTGCAATTGCTAATCTCGCCTACGCCAAAATGCTTGATGCCAAACAAAACCAGTGTGTCATCATCAGGTGAGCCAAGCTGCGCTCAGGTCGCTTTGCATCCAGACATCTAGATGGTGAGATGCGAGCCTACTATGAGCGCCCAGGAAGGGCACTGGGTCCCTCTGGGCCACCCCATGGCTTATGGGTTGGAGTGGATGTGGAGAGGCAGAGAAAAGCTGACGCTCTGGCCCTGTGTTCGGCCAGTGGGGAGAGTGGCTCTGGAAAAACTGAGGCCACGAAGCTGATTCTCCGCTGCCTGGCTGCCATGAACCAGAGAAGGGATGTCATGCAGCAGGTAAGAACTACTATCAAGCCAGCATGTGGCTGCCCTGTCTGCTTCGGATTGCCAGCCCACCCTTGCTGAGTACACCCCCAAGAGACCAGGCTCTTCACTGTGCACTTGGATGGAGGGAGACTGAATTCCAGATAGGTCAGCAGGGTTGGCTCAATGCAGGGCTTCTCTGTCTTCCATCTTCCCCAGGGAAGTGCCAAGGGACAGACAGGTAAGCCATTCTTACTTCCTAGTGTCTCCAGCATGACCATGTCCTTCTGGTTATGGCACAGGACCACCATAGTCTCATACCCAGATGCTGAACAAGTTCAAGTGTGGCCATAGCATGAGGCAGAGGCAGCAGCAGACTTCAGGTTTGCTGATCAGACATGAGAACACTAAATCCTGCAACCCGACAGCACTCTTGGAAGCTCATCCATTCCCTCAGTAAAGGTTTACGGAGGCCTTACTGTGTTCTGGACTCGGCAAGGAACAGAGCATCTCATGACAATGTTTACAACTGTGTGGGAGTTACATTCCAGGGCAGGGGGTGGAGAAGAAGAAAATCTAAGTAACTGTCAAGTAAATTATGTATACTGCAAAGAGTAGTATTAGTGTATGTGGAGGAGAAAAAAGGAGGGTGGAGGAAAGAGAGAGAACCGGGGAGCAACTTTATAAGCACGAAGCAGAGATGAGGCCCTGAGCAGACCTGAGAAGAGGGAGGAGGCCAAGGAGAGATCTTGTGCAAAGATGCAAGCAGGTTTAGGATGCCCACAGGACATCAGAATGGCAATGTGGAGTCTGGATCAGAGAGACCAGGGGCTCAGGTGCCAGTGTCTGTGGCACTCGGTGTACAAGGATGCAGTCAGGTGCAGGGCAAGCCAGTCAGGGACGTGCCACAGTGTGATCCCATCACAGTGTGAAGAGGGCTAAACCAAGAGTGACCACAGGCAGCGTGGGTGAAGAGGAGCTGCGGAGAAGAGGTGCCCATCAGGTGTCCACTCAGGTGATGGGAATCCAGGGCTCAGTGTCCAGAACCATGGCCTCTCAAAATTCCCAGCAGGCAAATGGATATAATGCTACAACTGGTGGCCATCTTGGCAGGACCTCTTGGGGGTTGACTCATGCCCTCTCTGCTCTAGGCAGTTTTCAGTTTCTTCTACATGTCTGGGAGAGCCCATGAGGTAGGCAGGGAGAGATGTGTGTAGCTAGAGTTTTCCTGCCTGGCCCACAGTCAGGACAAATCTCTATCACCTGCCAGTCCTACAGCCGCTCAGACCCAACCAAGTAAACACAGAGACTTATATTGGTTACAAACTGTATGGCCATGGCAGGCTTCTTGCTAACTGTTCTTACAGCTTAAATTAATCCATTTCCATTAATCTATACCTTGCCACATGGCTCATGGCTTACCGGCATCTTCACATGCTGTTTGTCATCTTGGCGGCTGGCAGTGTCTCTCTGACTCAGCCTTCCACTTCCCAGCTTTATTCTCCTCCTTGTCCCACCTACACTTCCTGCCTAGCCAATGGCCAATCAGTGTTTTATTTATTGACCAATCAGCAACACATTTGCCATACAGACCATCCCACAGCAGATGTGGACTCCATGGGTTCCTCCTTGGGCCTGGTGTCTTCCAAACACCCTCATGGAGCCTCATGGCCTCCCTTGGAAATGGTGTCTGGGATCACTTGCAGATTGAGAACCTGATGTCTGGGAAGACAAGTGACTCGCCCAGTGTCCCCAAATGAGGTGACAGGGCAGGGATTTACTTCCCTTGGCAAGAGGTGTGTGGAAGACAAGTGAGGATGTGTGACATACTGGGTCTGAGAGTTTCTAGGCTAGGTACACAGCATGAGGACATTGGACAGGTCAGATCTAGGGTCAGTTTAAGACATGGCTGAATCTAAGGTCTTAACCCAATGGTCATGCCTTGACCCACTCCCATACACTCTGGTCAGCAAAATGGTGGTGTGGTACCTCCCTTATTTCAGGAAAAAAGTCCATCTCATTGAATAGCTTTGGCCATGTATCCTCACTAGAACCAACCACACAGCAGGGCCTTCTCCTCCCTCCAAGGTTTATACACCCTAGCCCATGAGAACCCGCCCCCCCACACACAGTCTTCTGGCTTCATATCCTATCCTGTGCTGAGTACCAGAAGCAGAGAAGGTGCCGCACACCCCCCTGGAATCTCCCAGGGACTCCCAGACTTAGGGACCGTATAGAACAGTGCCCTACTAAACTTGACTACTACTGAGCAGCCGCAGGCAACCCCGCCTTCTGCAGGCACCCAACTGAATGCAGATGTGAAAAGAGGGGCACTGCCACCACCTTGAAGTTACAGGAGTCATGTCTGTGGGAACTGGGCCCCCTTCTTCTCCCCAAAACTTCTTCCTGAAGACATGATTTGTTTCTTTTTTTTAACTTTATTTTTATTTTATTTTTTTATGAACATCAGTGTTTTACCTTCATGAATGTCTGTGTGGGGGTGTCAGGTCCCCTGGAATTGGAGTTACAGACAGTTGTGAGCTGCCATGTGGGTGCTGGGAATTGAACCCAGATCCTTTGGAAGAGCAGTTGGTGCCCTTAACCTCACAGCCATCTCTCCAGCCCCCTGAAGACATGATTTAACCAGAGACAATGCCCTGTGCATACTAAGCGTATGTTCACCAGGCACTGTTTGGGACGCACTCTTCTGGACCTGGAGGCCCTGGGCATGCCGCAGTCCCTCTCTACAAACCAGTTTCGGAGTCTCTGAGACAGCAGTGATGTTAGCACCTATGTATAGGATACTTACATGAACCAAAAGTAGGGCGTGGAGGCACAGACCTACTGTACAAGTACTGAGGAGGCTGAGATAGCTGGGTCATGCCTGGACTATATAGTGAGATCTTGTCTCAAAATGAAAAACAAAGGCTGTGGGTATGTCTCAGTGGTAGAGCATTTCCCTAGCATGTGTGACACAGTCTTGAGTTCTATACCTAGAACTAAGGAAAAAAAAAAAAAAAAAAAGGTAGAGTATGTCTGGCACACAGTAGGTACTTTTAGGTGGGTGCCCCAGTTAGCTATGATCACCCTGGGTGGCTCTGCTCATGAGATGCTAAACTCATTGTTTTTACCCATTTAGAGAATTTTTGGGGGCCTGTTATTGATCCATTGGCCCTGTACAGAGAATGAGAACTCTCTATAGGGACATAGATAACATCCAGGAAAATGTATTTGCTGAGGCACTGAGTACCCAGAGGAGGAGAAGCCTGGGAGGCTCCCTGAAAGAGGAGAGAAGCATGCAGGTGCTCCCAGGCACAAGGATCAGCGGGTGCAGATGTCCTGAGGCCGGGATGGCTCTAGATGTAGGGGGGCTGGTGAAGTGGGAGGGACAGATTGAAGGACGGGAAGCAGGAAGCAAGGAGACAAGGGCTGGACTTGGAGGTCAGAGCAGGACTGTGATAAGGTAGGTGCCACAGTGGTGCCATGGGTTCCAAAGAACACCTTGGTGACTGTGCTGAGCCTAACAGGAGAGGTAAGAGCAAGGACATGTCAGAGAGGAACCTGGAAGATGGGTGGCAGGAGTCGGGTGTGGGGCAGAAAGAACGGGGCATCCCTGAGCCTTGTTGAAAGACGCTGGCTGCAGGCCACACGCTGAGGCCACGCTGCAGCCCCTTGACCTAGGGTCTTGGAGGCTCACAGGATTTGCAACAGGGACCTAAAAGGGTCCACCAGTGTCTCCACAGACCAAGGCTCCTGGCCTCCTGGAGGGAGAGGTGGCTGGTCTTGTAGGGAACCACTTTTGTTGTCTTTCGTTTCTGCTCCGGCTTCACCGACACCCCTGAAGATAAAGGTATGCAGGCTGTGTGGGGGCCATGGGCAGCACGGTCAGGGGGCCGGAACACGGGGCTTAGAGCTAAGCATGAGGGTGGGCCTTCTAGGGACAGAGGAGACGCTGGGATTCTAGAAATCTGCTTCAGGCCGCCCCTCCAAAGGGAGGGTTCCCTGGGAAGGCCTCTATTTGGGTATGTTGAGTCATGCCCTGACCCCAGTGCCCATCTCTCCCATAACCTTTCCTTCTTGGTCCAGATTCTGGAGGCAACACCTCTCCTGGAGGCCTTTGGTAATGCCAAAACCGTCAGGAATGACAACTCTAGCCGCTTTGGGAAGTTTGTGGAAATCTTTCTAGAAGGGTGAGTAGGGCCCGTGGTAGATGCTCAGAGGCCTTGCAGAGCCCTCCGTGGCCTACAGCAGCACCCAAAGTTAAGTGGGCCACCTCAGTCCCCAAGAGCTGACTGTGTTTCCCCAGGGGTGTGATCTCTGGTGCCATAACCTCTCAGTACCTGCTGGAGAAGTCAAGGATCGTGTTCCAGGTAGGCAGGCCACAGGCCTGGGTGGTGGTACCAACACTCGGAGCCCGGCTTGGGGCTGGGGGTAGTGGATTATGAGCAAATATGTGTATATACGTGGAGGTGTGTGTGTGTGTGTGTGTGTGTGTGTGTGTGTGTGTGTGTGTGTGTGTACCTGAGCCTGTGATCTGCTACCTTCCTTCTTCTACCCCAACAGCTTAGTTGGCTCATCCCTACCAAGAAATCAACAGATTGTTCCCTGCCCCAGGAACATAAGGGTGCATGTGTGGCCCAACCCTTTGCCTCCTCCAAGTCAGGCTGCCATGTCCTTCGCTCAAGGAAGCCATCTTATTCTATGCAGTCCCTCATACCCTATCACAACCCCATCCTTAAGTGCTTCACTTCTCATCTGTGAAACACATTACCCTTTAAGTAACTAAATGTCTCAAGATAACAGATGGGTTCTATGAGATTTGTCCCTGTGGTACCCCATGGGGCTTGGGGCTCAAGAAGACCTCAGGCAAATGGGCCAAGTGAACCATCTGAAGGCCTGGGTGTGCACACCTGGGCCAAAGAGTTGCATCTCCAGGTGTACAGGTCTGGTTTACATAAGAGAAAAACAGGTGCGTGTTCCTATTTCTCCAAACAAAGTAAGGCCAGCACCCCATCATACCGAGATGCTCTCAGATCTCACCCCAGAGATGCCAGCCGACCTCAGGTCCCTGTGTATGGACATTTTTATGTGCATAGCTGAGCCTGGCTGAGTGACTGAGGGCTCACTCTTTCATGCACCCACCTTGCCTCCCTTTCAGGCCAAAAACGAGAGAAATTACCACATTTTCTATGAGCTGCTGGCCGGCCTCCCAGCCCAACTGCAGCAGGCGTTCAGCCTGCAGGAGGCTGAGACCTACTACTACCTGAACCAGGTGAGCATGCACAAAGGACTACCCAGCTACCCAAAACCCCACAGCTCCTGGTGGTTAGGACAGGAACATCGGGCCTCAGTAGAGAGAGAAGCCCACCTGATCTTTCATCTCTTCAGAGCCCAGAACAGAACTAGCCAAGGTGATGGTACTACCTGCCCCCTCTCTGGAACTCAGTTTCCTCTTCTGGGAAATGGGGACAACATAGCACCATTATATAGAGGTGTGGGTGAGGAATGCATGACTTGGTACTGGCCTATAGCCCATCCTCCATTCACACTGGCTGTGGTTAGTGGGCAAGCTCCTGTTCCTCCTCATACAGTCCGGAAAGCAGGACATGACGGGCCCTCAGCTTGAGGACTGGACACTGACCCCATCCCCTGCCCCAAACCAGGGTGGGAACTGCGAGATCGCTGGGAAGAGTGACGCAGATGATTTTCGCCGTCTGCTGGCTGCTATGGAGGTGCTCGGCTTCACCAGTGAGGACCAGGACAGCATCTTCCGCATCCTGGCCTCCATCTTACACCTGGGCAATGTCTATTTTGAGAAACATGAGGTAAGAGGTGCTCAACCTGCAAGGCCACACCTAGGCCTTCAAGCTTCCTCTCTGGCTACCCATGGCTTCTCCTGCTTGGGCATATTCTTTTCTCATGATATGTGAGAATTCTTTATATAGGTTAGAAAAGTCAGACGATTATTTTTAGATGACAGAAAACATATCCTTCATGTTTTGATTTTGTTTACTATAAGTTTGGTATTTTTCTTTAGGGGTATCGCCATGTAGATTACTTTAAAATTACCTTTAAGCAGTTTATCAATCTTTTCTTATACGTTGTAGTTTTTTTGGGTCATTTTGAGATAGACCTCTCTCTCTAGGCTGGGGATGGAGCATGCTTCTTGATAGAGTGCTTGTGTAGTATGCAAGAAGTCCTGAATTTGATTCTTGCCCCCACCCTATAAAGTCAAGTGGGTGCCACACACCGCTAGGTAGAGGAAGGAAGGACCAGAAGTTTAAGTTCATCCTCAGCTATGTATTGACCTTGAGGGTAGCTTGGACCTAATGAGACTCAGTCTCAAAAAAAAAAAAAAATGACAAGATGCCTCCATGGATAAAAGCACTTTGGGGCTCACATGGTGGAAAGAGAGAACCCCTGCAAATTGTCCTCTGGCCTTCACGCACGTCAGGGCATGTATACCACACATAAAAGCACAACAAAGAAATAAATGTTTCATTTTTTTGTTGTTGATTTTTAGAGATAGGGTTTCTCTGTGTAACCCTGGTTGTGCTGGAACTCTCTCTGTAGACCAGGCTGGCCTCAAACTCAGAGATCCACCTGCCTCTGCCTCCTGAGTGCTGGGATTAAAGGCGTGCGTCACGATGCAGGACTTAAAAATCTTTTTAAAATTGTGCCCAAGAGGTAACTCAAGTGGCTAGGAACATTTGCTACTCTTGTACAGGACCCGAGTTTAATTCCCAGCTCCCATGTTGGGCAGTTCGCACCAATTAGTATCTTCATCTCCCTAGGATATGATACCTTTGTTCTGGCCTCTGTAGGTATCTGCACCTACATGTGTACACACACAACTAAAAATAAAATAAGTCTTAAAATAATAATCCATTGTAGTAAAGTATGAGATAGGAATCCATTTAATTTCCAGAGGTTATGCAATTGTCCTTATCCTGATTTGAAAACCAGGTTCTTATTGTGTACACAATTGCCAGATGTATTTATGCCTGGTTCTAGACTTTAGCATTTTGTTGTTGTTAGGTCTGGATTTTTGTTTTGTTTTGTTTGAAACAAGGTCTTGCTATGTAGTTCTCCTGCCTCAGTCTTCCAAGTTCAGGTACTGTAGGCATGTGCCTCTCTAGCTGGCCCGTGCCAAGAAGTCTGTCTTTTAAACTGTCTGTATGTGTGTGCAAGTGCTCAAGGAGACCAGGAGAGGGGACTGTGTCTTCCAGAGGCAGTAACAGATGGTTGGGAGCTACTTGATGTGGTGCTGGCAGCTGGACTCAGGTCCTCTGGGGGAGCAGCAAGTTCTCTCACCTGCATCTCCCCATCTGTGCGCATGTGCATACCTGTGTCATGGAGGCTAGGGGTCAACACTGAGTAGCACATGTACATACCTGTGTCATGGAGGCTAGGGGTCAACACTGAGTAGCACATGTACATAACTGTGTCATGGAGGCTAGGGGTCAACACTGAGTAGTAGCACATGTACATACCTGTGTCATGGAGGCTAGGGGTCAACACTGAGTAGTAGCACATGTACATACCTGTGTCATGGAGGCTAGGGGTCAACACTGAGTATCTTCTACTGCTCCCCACCTTGTTTTGTGATAGGGTTTCTCACTGAACCTGTAGCTTGCCATTTCCAACTGACTGGCCATTGAGCCCCTGAAATTGATCTGTCCCTTCAGTGCTGGGGTTACAGATAAGCGGCACCAGGCCTGGCTTTTCCTGAGTGCTGAGGTCTGAACTCAGGTCCTCCCGCATGCACAGGTTTATCCACTGACCCACCTCCCCAGTTCCAGATCTTCTAATGTGCGCCCTCTGTCTGTGCACACTGTACCTGGAGCCCGTCTGTTTTGTTTTGCATATTTATTTTGGTGTTGAGGATGGAACCTAGGACCCCACACATGCTAGGCAAATACTCTACTCCTGAGCCACACCTCCACAGCAGGCTGTTTTAATGTCTGTGGTCTGTTTCTCCTACCTCAGAGAGCTTTCTCTGGCATTCTAGCTTGTTTCTGTTTTTGTAAGAACTCCAAACTCAGCCCAACCAGTTTAGCTCGGGCTTACTGCCCTGGTGTTTTCCACAGACGGATGCCCAGGAGGTGGCCTCTGTGGTGAGCGCCAGGGAGATCCAGGCTGTGGCCGAGCTGCTTCAGGTCTCCCCTGAGGGCCTGCAGAGGGCCATTACCTTCAAAGTGACTGTGAGTCTGAGGGCCCTGCCTATTCCTCTGAGGTCACAGCTCCCTCTCCCTGCCCTGCCTCCTCTCAGGTCACCTCTCAGTCAGATCTGGAGAGGTGGAGCCTCACTTCTGGTCTCCTCATGGGCTTTTCCCAGCCTTGATTCTCTTATTCTTCCACTCCCGCCAGTGTGTCTGGAGGGGGTGTGGGGCGGGTGGACACGGGCACACATGGCATGCTCACCTCCAGGAAGCCTTCTCCAATCCTGGCTGGGTCAGAGCTTCCTCTAAGGCATCAATCAGTCCTTCCTCTTCCAGGTGACCCCAGACTGATGTCTTCTTATGCCTGTCTCCCCCATTACACCAGCAACCCCCTCCCCTGCTTGAGCAGCCAGGTGCAGAGAAAACATTCTGGCCTGCTTTGGCCAGCAGTGAGCTTGAGACCCATCGCCCCATCTGTCCAATGTGCCTTTCCCCTGCTCCTGAGCCCCCAGCCCTCCAGGGGCTTTCTGAGGCATTGGCCAGCCAGCTGTCACTCAAAGGTCACGTTCTTCCCAGGAGACCATTCGAGAGAAGATCTTCACACCCCTAACTGTGGAGAGTGCCATAGATGCCAGGTGAGACTGTGTCCCTTCTTGCCCGATTCCCAGACCCCCGGTGCCTCTGCCAAGCCCACTCACCCCCAGCCCAACATGGCCTCTGCTCCAGGGATGCCATCGCCAAGGTCTTGTACGCACTGCTGTTTGGCTGGCTCATCACCAGGGTCAACGCTCTGGTGTCTCCAAAACATGATACGTTGTCCATCGCCATCCTGGACATCTATGGCTTTGAGGTAGGGCTGAGTGGGACCAGACTGGGCCTTGCCCTTAGGAAGCTACTTGGTGAGGCTGGCGGGGGACAGTGTGAAACAGGCGTCTGTGACCACAGCTGTGACATGTAGCTAGCACCGGGGAGCTGGTCAGGGGTCAGAGACAACCTTCCAGAAGAAGGAAGCATCCCTAGGTGAAGGAACACTCTCTGTAGAGGTCAGAGGCCTGGGAGGACTTTGTTTGGGGAGCCAGTGTTGTTGTGGGGCAGACTGTTGTACTTTGTGAGGATAATGGGGGAAAGGCTGAGTAAAACTTCCATTGCAAAAACCACAGCATACACTAACAAGGCACAATTGTGGGCCGGGCACCATCGTTTATCAAGCCGCTCCATCCAAAAGCCATGTAAGGCAGGTATTGCCAGGATCCCCCTTTTACACACAGTCAGAAAGTGGCAGAGCCAAGACTGGAACCCAGGCAGAAGGCCTGGTGGCCTGAGCCTCTGACTCTTCTCTGGGTCTCATCTGGTGCGCAGAGGGCCTTACAGGGTCTGTCGCCAGAGTCCAACTTTTTTTGAAACTACAGCCATGAAATGCAGGGAGTGGTCTGGGCTTGGGCCTGGAGAAGGTACACAGGGCCCATGATGGAGACAGATGGGTTGTTGACCAAGAAGAACCAGACCTAGCCTCCCATCTGCCCGGCAGGACTTGAGCTTCAACAGCTTTGAGCAACTCTGCATCAACTATGCCAATGAGAACCTTCAGTACCTGTTCAACAAGATTGTCTTCCAGGAGGAACAGGTGTGCAGCCTCCTGCTTGTCCATCCTTGCCGGTCAAGGGCCTTCCTGAAGAGACAAAGAGTACCAGGAAACGTGGAGAAAAAGGCCTTAGAGGCGGGAACAGCATGTATGAGGCCTGTGCTTTGAGGGAAAGTCCTGGGCTGCTGAGCCTAGAGAGGAGTTCTCTTGGGACCTTTCTCAGGCTCTTCTGACCCAGGAAGAGGGAAAGGAAGGCCTTGAGAATCTGTGTTGCCCTGGTAGGATACTGGCTCCATGTTACAGAAGGCAGGAGGCAGAGAGAAGTCATCCTGGGTGGAGGTGGCTGAACCCACACTCTTCACAGGAGGAGTACATTCGAGAGCAGATGGACTGGCGAGAGATCGCCTTTGCCGACAACCAGCCCTGCATCAACCTCATCTCCCTGAAGCCCTATGGCATCCTGCGCATCCTGGATGACCAGTGCTGCTTCCCACAGGTGAACCTCAGATGCTTCTGTGGTCCGAGTCCCAGTCTGGTAGACTCCCTGCCTGAGGTCACCCTCTGTGCTCAGGCCTGGGGCAGGAAATGTAGTGTTAGGACATCATCTACAGCAGTGGTCCTCAACCTTCCCAATACTGCGACCCTGTAACACAGTTCCTCAAAAATTATTTCCGTTGCTACTTCATAACTGTAATTTTGCTACTGTTATGAAACATAATGTAAATTTCGTGTTTTCTGATGGTCTTAGGCGACTCTTGTAAAAGGGTCATTTGACAACCCCCCCAAAGGGTCGCGACCCATAGGTTGAGAACTGCTGGTCTATGGTCACTTGGAATGACTAAGGTTGGAAGTTCCAGGTGAGGTGACTTGGGTTGGGGCTACATACTTTGACTTAAACACAGGGTACGATGTCGGTGAGAGCGTATAGGCAGCTGGAAACCAGCTGCTTCAGCCACAGCTGTGGGCCTCGCTCCCAGGACTCAGTCAGCCTCCCGTGACTGTGAGCTGCTCTTCTCCAGCACCCTCTGGGGAGCAGAGCGATCAGGGCTAAAGAACTTGGCACTGGGCCAGGAACAGGTACCCAGATCGTCCCCCCGACCCCCGCCTCCCTCCCCTGCAGGCCACAGACCACACATTCCTGCAGAAATGCCATTACCACCACGGCGCCAACCCACTCTACTCTAAGCCCAAGATGCCACTGCCAGAGTTTACCATCAAGCACTATGCAGGCAAGGTCACCTACCAGGTAAGAGTGGAGACAGCCGGCATGACCTCAGGTGCTGTCCTGCAGGCTGGAGAGAGGGTCGCAGTGTGGGTCTCACCATGATCCCAGTTCTGGCACTGGAGCCCCCGGGCTGTGTGGCCTTGGGAAGTGACTTAAGTTCTCTGAGCCTGTTTCCTCATCTGAAAAATGGGGCTGATAATGTCAATTTTCTGAGATAGAGGTGAGACTTGAGGTAGATTTGACAGAGTGCCTGTTACTGGTAATGGTGTCATGTGGTCTTTATTATCCAAGTCACAACATAGAAATTCACACTTCTGTCTCCATTTGGACCTTATTTTCCTCATCTGCAGAATGGGTAGAAGGAAGTGAGGCCCAGTCTGGGTAGTACCCCACACCCCTGAAAGAGTGAGCAGGGTGGAGCAGATGAGGAGAGACCAAGACAGAAGGGAGGGCCGTTCCCTCCCAGGACAGAAGGCAGACAGAAGTCTGGTAGAAGATGAGGGAATACAGAGGACTGGGAACAAGCCTTTGGTGCACCTTGGCTTCATACAGGAGTGGGTGAGTGGGGCCAGCCACAGACTGCCAGTCTCCTTTTTCAGGTGCACAAGTTTCTGGACAAAAACCATGACCAAGTGCGCCAGGATGTGCTGGACTTGTTTGTGCACAGCCGCACGAGGGTAAGGCAGCCTGGCCTCACACCTGCCCTGCCCTGGCGGCCTCACACCTGCCCTACTTACCCTGGGGGCCTCACACCTGCCCTACTTACCCTGGTGGCCTCACACCTGCCCTACCCTGGTGGCCTCACACCTGCCCTACCCTGGTGGCCTCACACCTGCCCTACCCTGGTGGCCTCACACCTGCCCTACCCTGGTGGCCTTGCCCACATTCCTGCCAGCACCTGCTGCTCCTTACCTGATCCGGCCTTACTAGCTCTACCCCTGGCTCTCTCCAGTCTAGGAAAGGGGGAGCCCCCTGACCTGGTTTTGCTCCTTAACTCACCCCTGCCTCAGCCACCTGCCATGGGCCCCACCTCAGTCCCTCCTGAGACCCTCCTGTCCTGGTTCAGTGTAACCAGCTTACCACTGTGACTTAAGTTCTGGATTCTTCCTCTGTGTTTGAAGCCTGACACTCTGGGGAGTGCATAGGGGCCAAATTTGGGTTCCTTGGAAGGCCAGCCCCACTGTTCATCAGCAGGTGGACCTATGAGAGAGAACTGATTGCAACCCCTCCCCTGTGGGCCCTCCTCTTCCTCCTCTGTCCAACCAGCCAAAGTTCCTGACCAGGGCCAGGTTCAGAGCCAGTGCTGTGTGCATTCCCCGGGAAGAAAGGGAAAAGCTGCCATGCTGTGGGCTGGGTCCCCTGGGAGGTGCTGAGCCCATATGCAAGCCAGGATGGCAGGGACATCTGGAGTCAAGTTGTTTTTCAGAGCCTTTCAGTCCAGGGACTAGACGCCTATTGTTCCGTCCCTGCTCCGCCCTCAACCTGTCCTGTCTGTCATTGGCTTCCAATCCCTTGGCCCCTCCAGGTGGTGGCACACCTCTTCTCTAGCCATGCTGCACAGACTGCCCCTCCACGACTGGGCAAGAGCAGCTCCATTACCCGACTCTACAAGGCTCACACTGTGGCAGCCAAGTTTCAGCAGTCACTCCTGGATCTGGTGGAAAAAATGGAGAGGTGGGTTGGGTGGGAGAGCAGAGGCACCCAGGCCCCCCTTATCCCACGGCCCTCAGTGGATGAGCGCTCACTCTCTCTCTCTGAGATCTCACACAACCTCTCCCACCTCCGCCCAGGTGTAACCCCTTGTTCGTGCGTTGCCTGAAACCCAACCATAAGAAGGTGAGGCCCCCCGGGAAAGTCAAATCCTCCTCCTGTGAAATGTGACACTGGGCAAGTGGCTTGGCCTCTCTGGACCCCTACCTGCCCGCCGTGGGACTCCTCACCCCTGCCTTTGTACCCGAGTGGATGGTATGCCGATGATGTCCTCTCTCTGGGCATCTTTCTAGGAACCAGGTCTCTTTGAGCCAGATGTGATGATGGCGCAGTTACGCTATTCAGGGGTTCTGGAGACTGTGCGGATCCGCAAGGAAGGCTTTCCAGTGCGACTCCCCTTCCAGGTGTTTATCGACAGGTACTTCCATCGGGTAATTCACCGCTGCAGACTCCTCTCCAAGCCCCCACAGCCTAGGCAACGTAGGATCTGTCATGTACTGTTGTTCAGGCTGTACACCATACAAAACACGTTAGATTTAACATGAGAAACCTATTTGTTGTGCTGTGTGTTTTTTTTTTCAAGTACATGTATTCACTTATTGGGTGAATACATACTGTGAATACTGTGTCAGTGTGTGTGGAGGTTACAGGACAATTTTTAGGAGTCAGTTACTCTTTCCATCATGTGGCAGAGATGAGTTCACCAGAGAAAAGCTCAGGTTGTCAGGGCTTGGTGGCAGGGACCTTTGTTTTCATCGTTTCCTTCTGTGTTGAATCCATCTAGGGTGATTTTTTTTTTTTTTTTTTTTTTTTTTTTGGTTTTTCGAGACAGGGTCTCTCTGTGTAGCTTTGCGCCTTTCCTGGAACTCGCTTTGGAGACCAGGCTGGCCTCGAACTCACAGAGATCCGCCTGGCTCTGCCTCCCGAGTGCTGGGATTAAAGGTGTGAGCCACCACCGCCCGGCATCTAGGGTGATTTTAAGAGCCATTAGGACAAGCTCCAGCAGGTGTCAGCAAAGGGGTTTGTTCTGCTGAAATAGTGTATTATGGTTTTGACACCTTGACCTAGTTTTGAGGACCGTGCTGTGAGCAAGCCACCTATTGGACCACACCCCCCAGACACAGGGACGGGGTACCATCAGGCCCTCAGGCTGAGTTTGGTCCCCCCAGGTACCGCTGTCTGGTGGCCCTCAAGCTCAGTGTGCCGGCGGATGGGGACACGTGTGTGTCGTTGCTCAGCCGGTTGTGCACAGTCACTCCAGACATGTACCGTGTTGGGGTTAGCAAGGTGAGCTCCGGAGACCCCCACATTCAGTGATATCCAAGTGGTACCCCAGAGCCATCCAGATGCCTGAGCCTGGGAGGCTAATTCACCTCAGCTCTGCTCAGGTGGCTCCCCGGTGTCTGGTGAACAAACTCCCAGCCAGGCTCCGGGAGGCAGCCCTGTCTTCTCCGCTTTTGTGGGCTCTTCAGTAGGGTTATCTATTGCTGCCTCCCACCCCCAGCTCTTCCTCAAGGAGCACCTGCACCAGCTACTGGAGAGCATGCGGGAGCGAGTCCAGAACCGGGCCGCCCTCACCCTGCAGCGCTACCTCCGAGGCTTCTTCATTCAGCGGCACTTCCGCTCCCTGCGGCGGAAGATCATCCTGTTGCAGAGCAGGGCCCGTGGCTTCCTGGCCAGGTGAGGCCCACAGAAGGGGAAGTCTCTGGGGTCCTCCAGTCTCAGAGGAGCCTAAGCTCAAAAAGAGCAGTCCCTGTCTCTGGAGGCATGCAAGCTGAAAGAGGCTTCCACCAGAAGGATGACCTGATTCTCCAAGTCACCGCTGTCTGGCTGTGGATGCAGCTGAGAGGGTTTCCCTGTTGCCTGCACACCAGGGGCTCTGGGACTAACACATGATGGGGCGGTACATGACCACTGTGAGGATCCATCCAGGCCCTGCCATTAAATTTGCTGTGTGGATTTGACTATGTCTCTGTCCCATATTGAACTCATTTTCCTTTGAGACAAAGAATCCCAGATGAAGTATGGGCAGTGGCAGAGGCATCTCTGACCCTTTATCGCCCCACGGCCTCATCTTTGACTCCTCCTCAGACAACGCTACCAGCAGATGAGGCAGAGTCTGGTGAAGTTCCGTTCCCTGGTGCATACCTACGTGAACCGCCGCCGCTACATCAAGGTACAGGCCTGCCTGGGTTGGGGGAGCACTTAGCCCAAGAGGAGCCCGTCCCCAGGGCACGTCCCTGCCATGCCCTCCTCCTGAGCTGGGTGGCAGGAGCTCCTCTGAGGCCTGTTTCCTGGCATGTCCCTTGGGGCGTGGAGAAGAGTGGAAGGTAGTGCTGTGTGAAGAGATGTAGCCAGCACTGGGGTCATAGTGAGCTGCAGGCGTGGTTGGCACTGGGTGACTTGAATCTCCTTAGTGTGATTTGGTACTTAGCTCACAGCCAGTCTTGTCCTCTGTCACATAAACCAGCTGCCAGTGATAAGTGCCATTCCATTCCCAAAGCTCAGAAGGCAGGCAAGGCCTTCAGTGAAACCAAGTTTCCTGGAGTTCCTGCCAACGCATCCCCTCCCATCTCCGGCTACACCTTTGCCTCCCCTGCCCGAGGTCCCATCAGTGCCACCAGGAGCCTCCAGGCCACAGGCCCTTCCCTACTGCTCGCGCCTGCCCAGGCTACCTGGCCGTGGTTTCTGCCACCTGTGCCCTGACCATTTGCTCTCCTGCAGCTGAGGGCAGAGCGGAGGCGCCGGGCACAGGAGGCATGGCTGCGTGAGCAGGAGGTGGGTGCGGGGTTCAAGCCGCAGCAGGGCACAGGGAGGGAGACCAGCCGGTGAAGTGTGGTGGCTGTCCCCTCACCCCTTGCCCTCCATCTCCCCCCCCACCCCGCTCCAGGAGCTCAGCAAGCGTGAAGTGGTGCCAGTGAGGCACCTGGAGGTGCCAGCGGAGGTGGCAGGGCTCCTGCAGGCGGCAGCCGGTGCGTCATCCCTAATGGCAGCGGGGAAGGGTTGGGGAGAAGGGTGCCATCACGACATGCTTCCACTGTCCGCAGGCCTCAAGCTGTCCAGTGTGCCCCGAGTAGCCATCGTCCGGACTCCTAGGCTCCAGACGGAGCCCTGTGTCACCCTTCCCCTGGACATCAACAACTACCCCATGGCCAAGTTCATCCGGTGCCACTTCAAGGTAAGGGCTGGCACAAGCAGCCTGGCCCCTGGGCACTGAAACTCAGAGCTGACCCAGCCTCCCTGGAAGCTTTTGTGGTATGGACATGAGCCCATTTGGGAGCCCTAGGGCCTAATAGAAGTGAGACCCTCTCGGACTCCAGCAGCATAGCTCACCAACCAGACTGGGATAATCAGAACTACTCAGAACCTGACGAGGAGGTGGTACAGCACAAGCCTCTGTGTCCTGTCCTCCAAGAAGGGCCCGGCGGCATTGCTCTGCCTCCCCCAATTGCTCTCTGTGGGCCAAAGTCTGCCCTCACCAGACCTCAGCTTCTTCATCTAGGCGCTGGAGTGGGGAGCCCACCCCATGGTCTCCTGCTCTCTTCCCCAACATGAGGTACGGGTAGACACGGATATGTCTGTCATCCCCAATGTCACCTCGCATGCCCTCCTTGTGTCCCCAGGAACCCTCCTTTGGGATGCTGACAGTGCCCCTGAAGATGCCTCTCACACGGCTACCTGTGGAGCACCATGCCGAAGCCATAAGTGTTTTTAAGCTAGTATGGGATCTGCCCCAGTCCAGCTTCAAGTGCATAGCCCTACCACAATGCCAGGCCACAAGCATGCTTGCCCCCGGGCATCAAGTGCATATCCCTACCACAATGCCAGGCCACAAGCATGCTTGCCCCTGGGCATCAAGTACATAGCCCTACCACAATGCCAGGCCACAAGCGCACTTGCCCCCAGGCATCAGGTGCATAGCCTTACCTGAGAGGAGATTACAAGCTTCCCCTTTATTCCCTGGTCATCCTCCTTGGCCTTCAAGCCCAGCTCATGAGTCCCACATCTCTTTTTGAAGCTATATGTCAGTGTAAAGATCTGGGCCTCTTTCTGAGAGTCTTTTCCCCAGTCAATCTCCTGGCAATGGTAACTCAGAGTCTCTCTGGCCCCTCCTAAGGACTCCCTAGGTGGAGGGGACAGTCCCTATTTTGACCCAGGACCACCGACATGTGCAGAGGGAGGTTCAGAGGCTGGGAACACAAATGAGGCTCCAGATCCATCCAGGCAAGCCACACGAGGCAGCCTGGAAGAGGAGGCTGTGGAGATGAGGAAAGTTTACCTATTGGGAGAACAGGACAGGAAAGATGGGAAGAAAAGGGAGAGTGACCAGTGAGGCTTAGATTGCAGGTCCCCAGGTCCCATTTCAACAGAGAGTTAGGGAGCCCTGGAAGGTCTTTCCTGGGAGTGATGTGGTCAGGTCTGAATGCTAGAGAACCCTCTGGACCAAGTGGAGCCAGCTGGAGGCCAAGGGTACAAAAGGATGCTGGCGATGAATGGAAGCCACAGGAGGTTCATGGGCAGGAGAGGAATTCAGTGTGTACTTTGGATACTAACTTCCCTGCTGGAGGGACTTTTTATGGGCAGGAGAGCATGACAAGAATATGGGCAGAAGCCCACACGAGTCTGTCTGTGCCCTAGATCCTGCGTTTCATGGGAGACCCCCACCTGCACGGCACCCAGGAGATGATCTTGGGGAACTACATCGTGCACCGGGGGCTGGTGGAGCCAGAACTGAGGGATGAGATCCTAGCCCAGCTGGCCAACCAGGTGTGGCGCAACCACAATGCCTACAATGCCAAGCGTGGCTGGTTGCTGCTGGCCGCCTGCCTAAGCGGCTTTGCACCTTCCTCACACCTTGACAAGTTCCTCCTCAAGTGAGTGCAACCCAGAGGCCAATAGGTGACCGGAGGTAGGAGCTCGGAGGTCAGGCCAATGGGTGCCTCTGTGTTGCCAGAAGACCCGTATGGACCGCAGCCAGAGCTGCAATCGCTTTACTGAGCCCAGAGCCAGAAGAAAGGCAGGCTTTACTGCAGAGGGGAGGAATCGTGTCCGAATGGATGAAGACAGGCAGAACCCAGGGTGGGGCAAAACGGGCATGTGGAGAACTGAGAAAAGAGTTCTTAGCTCTTCGATCTCTTAGGTTGTGGGGCAGACAGGGGTTTAGGAGCACAGCTGGGCTCAGACAACCTGGATTAAAATCCCAAGCTCGACTCTGTGATTTTGGGCAAGTCACTTAACCTCTCCAGACCTTGGTTTTGTCCCCTATAAAATGGGGGCTCTGATAGCAACTCTTCTATAGTGTATGTTACGTACGCAGAACAGAGATGAGCATATGGCAAGTGCCATGTGGGCAGTGCCGTGATGACAATGTATCTCTGGTGCTGGTGAGGTGCAGGGCTCATGGGAGATAGTGCACGCGCCTATCGCGTGACCCAGGGCCAGTACCTCTCTTTTCTCTGCTGTAAGGGAGGGAATGGTAGCAGGATCCACCCACCAGGATAGCCATGAGCACCAGATGGTGAGGGACCTCTCCAGGCCGGCATGCAGAAGGCAGCCATTCTTCAGCCAGTACTGTGGCTATGGTAGCTCTAGCAGCAGAGTAGGGCCACTGTCTGTGTGGGGCCTTCCTGAAAGCACAACCCTGGTCCCTCTCAGGGAGGCATGAGGGGGACCTGCTGATGGGAACAGCTCTCTGGCCCTGAGCTGAGTTGGACCCTCACAGCTCTCTCTTACACAGATGAAAACTAGGAGGCCAGGCTAAGAGCAGGTGGCCATCCAGACTACTGAGTGAAGGGATGGGGACAAAGCCTTCCGGGGCCCGGGTTCTGGCTCATGCTTAGTCATACACCCCACCGGAACAATGACATTTGACTCCATCCTTGAACTTCTGTGCTACACTGGATACTTCTGGGCTAACCTGGGACTTACTTTTAGGCTAGCCTCAGCACTCTAGGCTATGGGAACCTGTTAGTGTGCTCTCTAACCTATCCCATTTGTGAGTTTGCCTGAGGCTTTTTCCACCTCACCTTAGCGCTAAGGGGTAGCCTGAGTCTACGGCAGGCTCCCACTCCCTGGTCCTCCCCCAGGTTTGTGTCTGATTATGGGCAGAATGGCTTCCAGGCTGTGTGCCAGCACCGCCTCCTGCAGGCTCTGGGCTCGGGGGCTGCCCGCACCTTTCCCCCGACACAGCTCGAGTGGATCGCCATCCAGGAGAAGGCCAGTATGGCTCTGGATGTGAGCTGCTTCAACGGTATGTAGGCTCATCCCTCAGGCTGCTTCTCTTCGCTTCCTGAAGGAAGAGAAGCTGGAGTCAGCAGCAGCCACTAAAGGTTCTGAAGCCAGGGAGGGACTCCTGCCAAAGTGGCAGGGCAGGGAAGTGGGGGTTCCAATGTGGGACAGGGGCGTGGGAGCCAGTGAGGCTGGCCCGGATGCCCCTGACTGAGTACAGCTACTGGCTGTGCCAGGTGACCAGTTCTCCTGTCCGGTGCATGCCTGGAGTACGGGGGAAGCAGTTGCTGGAGACATTCTAAAGCACAGGTTGGCTCCTAGAATGCCCCATCCAGCACCCCATGACGTGGGAAAAAGGGAGGGGCAGGAGGCACCATTCCCCGGCGGGGGGGTGGGGGGTGGTCCAGAAGGCCATTCTGACCATGCCTTGGGTCTGATTCATACCCCAGGGTCTCCAGGCAATGCCTGACAGTTCCACCCTTTATTTCCATTCCTCTGCACACTGACCAGGGGGCTGGCCGATGGTTGGAGAGGCTGGACAGTGGCCATGAAGAATGGAGTCCAGTGGGCAGAGCTGGCAGGACATGACTATGTGCTGGATCTGGTGTCAGACCTGGAACTGCTCAGGGACTTTCCTCGACAGAAATCCTACTTCATTGTGGGTGCAGAAGGGCCTTTGGCTGGCAGAGGAGATGCCAGAGGGTACGTAGCTACTTGCCCAGTCCACCTCCCCTGGGTAGCTGGCTCTACCCACCAGCTGTAGAGAAAGGCTGAGTTCTGGGGGTGGGGTTGTTTTATATTTAGTCATTTGAGCTGATCAGACCTCAAGCTCCTGGACTCAAGCCATCCTCCTAGCTTAGCTTTGGGAGCCTGGAGCTGCAGGGGTGCACCACCATGCCTAGTAATTCTACCCCTCAATCGGAGAAGCCCCCCAACCCAGGACACACAAGAGTTTCAGGGAATCTCTTTGAGGGTCAGCTGTCCTTTGCCTCCCCTTTCATCCACAGGGTGTTTGGGAACTGCTGGGATTCAGATGAGGACACACCCACAAGGCCTCAGCCCCAGGACCACATGCCCAAAATGCCTGACTTTGATGGGTACTGCAGCCACAATGAGGACGGTACAAGTGGGGAAACTGAGGCCCAGAGATGGACATCACCTCGCCAAGGTCAACCAGCAATGGCCATTGCATTAGAGGGGAAGGAACCCAGAGGGTGTGGAGACCCACAGGAGAAGTAAACTTGGCCCTTCTGTCCCCTCGCCAGCTGTGGACAGCACCAGAGAACCCACCGTGCCCCCTAGGGAGCTGGATGGCTACTTGGACAGCCTCTTCGACCCTGTGCTGGCCTGTGGGGATGCGGTAGGGATGTAGAGAGATGTCTGCAGGGGGCAGACTCAGTGTGTATACCAGAGGCACATCCCATGTCTTATGGTGACGTCTGAGCCTTACACAGACCGAGCCCTGGGGCACGGGGTCTAGCCTGGGTCTGTGCTGGGGGGCAGGGAAACCTTGGGGTTACCTGGCAGCTAGAGATGTCCCTGGTTGCCCTGGAAGGACCCACAGCTAAATGTCAGAACCCTAGCTGTCACATCTGGCAGTAGTCGCCCTCATAGGATGGATCTCTGGATCACCTGTTTTCAAATCTCACGAGACTTCCTTGTCCTAGGAAACCCCAGCACAGACACTGGCTCCCACAGTTCATTCCTTGTGGAGGGGGTGGGTTGGGAGCTTGGGCTGGTGTCAGGTGCCTGTTGCCTTGGATCCTGGGGATCACAGCAGTGAGGCGGCCACTGCTGCCCCAGGACCTGGAGAAGCCGACAGCCATCGCCTACCGCATGAAAGGTGGGGGCCAGCCAGCTGGAAGTGGCAGCAGTGCTTCTGAGGATACCCCCCGGAGACCCCCAGACCTCAAGGTCAAACCCAGTCAGTGCTTCCTAAATGTGCTTCCGGGCTAGGGGCGGGTGGTGCCTAGGGGGAGCTCCTGCCTCCCTAACATCTGTGCCCACCTGTGCCTTCTGCCTGGTTCCCCAGTCCCAGGCCTGGATGCCTCCACACTGGCTCTGCAACAAGCCTTCATCCACAGGCAGGCTGTACTACTGGTGAGTGGGGGCAGGGCACGAAGAGTGTGTGTGCGTGTGCGTGTGCGTGTGCGTGTGTGTACAGGTCACTTGGTCACCTATTCCCAGGCCCGGGAGATGACCCTACAGGCTTTGGCACTCCAGCAGCAGCCCCCGAGTGCAACCTCAAGACCCCAGCCCCCAGAGGTGAGCAGAGCGGCCCAGGGAGAACAGGAACACTGTGTTACCCCAGGGCTTTACTGTGCCTCTCTGAGGCCAGGAGTCCTACAGTCCACTTTGGGCGGAGATGGGGTGCCTGGGAGTAAGCTGGTATGTCCTAGGTGGCCACTTCATGACCTGCTTTCCACAGAGACCACTAGCTCCAGAGGCACGGCCGAAGACTGTAGGCACTGGTCCCCCAGCCAAGCCCGTGCTCGTACGCCCCACTCCACAGTCGCTGGCCCCAGGCTCAGTGGCAAAGGCCCCGAAGATCCCTAGCAAGCCCGTGGCTGCCCCTATCCTAGGTCAGGATTGGACTGCTCCAGAATCCAGTGAGTGTCCATCCAAGTCCTGAGACTGCTCAGATAGGCCAGGGCAACTGGGCCCTATGGCCTTACCTGGCCACCTGCCCTCACAGTTTCAGCCTCTCCAGAGCTGGTTCGGTATTCCACACTCAATTCAGAGCACTTCCCACAACCCACACAGCAGATCCGAAGCATCATCAAACAGTGCAAGCAGCCACCCTGGGCAGGGCGCCCTGAGGCCCGCAGGTGGGTCCAGACACCAGCCCTCAGCTTACCTTCCTCTATACTGGGTTCATCGCCATTCAAGATGGGCCCCTGAGCAATGGGAGGCTCGGGCTGCCACAGTCTCCACTGTGCCAGACAGCCTCAGCTCCTCTCCGGTGCGTGTTTGTAATGGTGTGTGGGAGGGTCCCCATCTTGGGGATTATGGGTAAGGGGATACCTAGTGTCCAACCTGCCATGGGTCACCTGCCAGAACGGATGGTGGGAAGGTGTTCAGGAGGCCACCTGACCCCCATGAGGAAGCCCTGATGATCCTGAAGGGACAGAAGACTCACATGGCAGTAGTGCCTGGCACTCAGGTGAGGAGTGGGTTGGGTACCCCAGAGGGACAGAGGCCACAGAAGCCAGTTACCCTCTCAGGATGGCCCTATGCCTTCCCCCACCCCCCGTGGTCTGCTTACTGCCCCCTGAGTGCTCTGTTTGTGGTGGGACAGGTGTCCAGAGAGGCTGTGGCCCTGGTGAGGCCGGTGACCAGTGCCCCAAGGCCATGCATGGGGCCCGCTCCAGGTGAGGACCTCCAGGGTGGGACGTGCCAGTGTCCAAGTGAGTGAGTGAGCCTGTGAGCGAGCACAGGGGTGTTTGGGGGAGCTGAGTCAAAGTGTGCACACTGTGTGGACACTGGTGTCATTACAGCATCACCCCTTAAATCACTGGTTTCAGGCCAGCCCCACCTTGGCTTCATTGAAGCCTCCTGACGCTCATCAAAACAATGCTATTTGTTCATACCTGTTAAAGGTGGGGAAACACAAACACCAAGACATTAAGTGGCTCCCGAAGGCCACTCAGCTGAAGCCCTAGTCAGGCGGTGACCCTAAAACATGAGTTAGCTCCCATCATGTCTCTGAACAAAAGCTCCTATAATGAAGCCCAAACGCTTCACTGTGACCTCGACCATCCTGTATGATCTATCTGCTGGGTCTCATAGCCTTCCCTCTCCCTTCCTTCCCCTTCACACATTCGGTTCCTATAACTTAGACACCACACCTGCTCCCGCCTCAAGACCTTTGCATGTGCTGTCTCCTCCAAGAGGAGTGCTCTCCCTCACAGGCTTTGGGGGCCTGGCTCCTTCTTGCCCATCAATCAGGTGTCCGCTCAAAAAATGTCACTTCAGAGATGTTTGCCCATCCCTCCTGAATCACCCTGCTGTACTTTCATGAGATCTCCTGTTACCATAAGCATCATAAGGCCTTCCCTGGTCCTGCTGGGTCCCAAGAAGCACCCCCCCCCCATACTTTCTGCCCCTGCTGTCCACAGTGCAGCCTTCAAGGTCGCTGGACCCTCCAGAGGATCCTGTGCAGACACAGCTGCACCGCCTAGTCAACCCCAACTTCTATGGCTACCAGGACGCCCCCTGGAGGATCTTCCTGCGCAAAGAGGTGCCAGGAGCAGGCCAGAGGATGGGCTAAATATGGGCAGAGTTATCCAGGAAGCTAGGTCAGGGGAACCATGAAGGATGGGAGTGGGGCTAGAGCCAGGGTTGGAGTCAGCCAGAGGCTGCATCTGGGGCTGGGGTCCAACTAAGAAGAGGGGGTAACCCGTGGGTAACTATGGCCCTACCCACACAGGTATTTTACCCTAAGGACAGCTACAGTCACCCCGTGCAGCTGGACCTCCTGTTCCGGCAGGTGAGGCCTTCTTCTTTCCTCTCACCTGCAGGCCCTTCCCTTTTGGGGTCCATGGGTTTGAGAGCTCCTCTACCGATTCCCCCACTCCCATGGACACATCCATCTAATGAGTCACAGTTCAGTCTGGGCGTATGTCTGTAACTCCAGCACCCAGAAGATGGGGGAAGGAGGGTCAGGAGCTTTGATACAAGGCCCTGGACCAAAAACACAAAACAAACAAAGAAAACAGTCACTCTCTCTAAGTTCACAGGGCCTAGAGGTCAAATCTCAGTCTCATCGGACACATACAGAAACCAAGGCCTGGGGAAAGCAGAAAGGAGTAGGGAGGTGACCCTGTGAAGGATCAGATAACAAAAGTGACTCAGTTTACAGATGACCCTAGTGCTGCAGAACTGGAACCCTTTCCCGAGAACCTAGGCCATAGACCTCAGCTTCCAGCAGGGGCACACTTGTTCCTGCAGATTCTTCATGACACGCTCTCTGAGGCCTGCCTACGCATATCTGAGGATGAGCGGCTGCAGATGAAGGCCCTGTTTGGTACCTTGGGGAAGGGGAGGGCTCTGATGGGCAGTCAACCAGATCGGGGGCCAGCCCTTGCCTGGAAGAAGTCTAAGGATACACCCCTCCCTCTTGCCTCCCACACATGCCCGTCCTTATTCAGCCTCACCAGGCTGCATGCTTGGAGGTCAGCAACACGTAACACACAATATGGCCCTTTCATCTATCCGTGGCTTCTAGTTTCCCATACAGACATTAGTCAGACAGCTTATTGCTGGTACCAGCCTTGCACCCCCAACTCCCTGAGATGTGAGCTGGAGAGGAGGGGAAGAGGGTCTTGACCAGAACTGGCCTCCCTTAGCCCAGAACCAGCTGGACACACAGCGACCTCTGGTCACAGAAAATGTGAAGCGGGCTGTGATCAGCATGGCCCGAGACAGCTGGGAGGTCTACTTCTCCCGCCTCTTCCCGGCAATGGTAAGAGTCCCTGTTCACCCTTCCCTGACTGCCCAGAGCAGCCGGGATGGAAGGCCTCAACCAGGTTAACCCTTCCTAGGGCAGTGTGGGCACTGGCGTGCAGATCCTGGCCGTATCCCACACGGGCATCAAGCTCCTGAGGATGGTCAAAGGCAGCAGAGAGGCCAGCAGACAGCTTCGGGTCCTGTGTGCATACAGGTGATTGGCAGGCAGGTGGGAGTGGGCTATCTGGACACAGGCACAGACTGGCATCAACATCTCCTCACTGTGCTCTTCAGAGCTGTTATTAAGCACCTGCTGTGTGCTGGCTATGCCAAGCCTTTTACTTAAGTCCATGTTAAAGATTTGGAAAGTGAGGCACAGAGAGAGAAGTTGATGGTCTCTGGTCACAAGGGTGGGAAGTGGTTGAGCTGGGAACCCATTACCCTGCTCTGCCTCTGGAGCCACATGCCAGCCCTGTCTCCAGAGCTCACTATACAGAGAGGGTAACTGCTGAGATCAACCAAGTCCCCCAGGCATCTGGGAGAGAACATGGCTCTGGCTGAGACCCTACTGAGTGCCCAGACTCTCTACTGGAGTCCCTTTGTCCATTTCAACATGAGGTCAGGAGAGAGCTCTTATCACTGGCTGGGTGGAAGCTCTCATAAGGAGAAAACTGGGCCAATTGATAAGACAAAGATATGGTGGGCCAAAGTCTGGCTTTGTGGTTGGACCGAGGGCCTGAACGATGGCACAAAGGGTTTTAAGATACACAGAACCCATAGATGGGTCAGAGAGGGACACAGGAACAGAAAAGGCCTGTAGGAGGGCATCTCTTTGGCCATAAGGTCTCTGCTCTCGCACCGCCTTCTCTTCCTCCAGCTTTGCAGACATCCTGTTTGTGACCAGGCCATCCCAGAACATGCTAGAGTTCAACCTGACCAATGAGAAGATCATCCTCTTCTCGGCCCGAGCTCATCAGGTCAAGACCCTAGTAGACAACTTCATTCTGGAGCTGAAGAAGGTTAGGATCCCTCCACAGATGTGGCCTGCCACTCCAATACAGATACATCACAGCCCTTCTGCCCAGAGAGTGTGAATACACCGTGTACATGCGCACACTACAGAACACACCCACAGACCTCGATGCCAATGAGTGGCGTCTTCCCCTTGCCCTGCCTCTTCTCCTTTGTGCCCCCAGCCTCTTCACACCTGCCCCTCAGCAGTGTGGAAAGTACCTCCTGTAAGCCCCAAGCAATTGTCTCCTAAAGACTGCATTACTTGCCCTCAGAATCTCCTTCTCATTTACCCCTATACTTTGGCAGGACATGTCCCAGGCCCAGCACCCAGCCTAGGGGGATCCAGAGGAAGGTTTAAGGAGGGATCATTGGCTAAGGCACAAGTATGCTCAGCAATCTCAGGTCCCCATCCTGTGTAACGTCTTACCCTCTGCCCATCTAGGAAACACCCATCACTTCCCCCTGCCACCTAAGGAATGTGCCTTCTCTGATGGATTGGGAGAATGGAAAGAGCAGTAGCGGGAAGCCCCCGAAATGAAGGTAGTACACAGCGCTCTCTCTATTCCTGGTGTTTTCCAGGATTCTGACTACGTGGTGGCAGTGAGGAACTTCCTGTCTGAGGACCCAGAACTGCTGTCCTTCCACAAGGGTGACATCATCCACCTGCAGCGCCTGGAACCACCTAGAGTGGGTCAGCTCCATGGCTGGGTGGAAGTGCGCAAGAGCGGGGGAGCTGAGCAAATGGCTTCCCTGGCACATGCTGATGCAAGCTCTTTCCACAGGCTACAGCGCCGGTTGTGTGGTCCGCAAGAAACTGGTGTACCTGGAAGAGCTGCGGCGGAGAGGCCCTGACTTTGGTGGGTGTTTGTGGATGGCCCAAACCTGCAGCACCAGACGGGGGTGCTAGTCCAGATTCCGAACTCACTGCAGACGCATGATAAGAGTCTGCTGGTGGCCCCTTGGTCTCCTAAGACCTGACATTGCCGGCCAGCAGCTCTTCCGCCCAACCTTTCTGCCTACACATATGGCCTAGGTGTGTCTCCATGCCTGAGGCCCTACACTCTGTATTTCCGGTTGCTCCTGGCATTCATCTCCAATACCACAAAAAAAAAAAAAAAAGACAAAAATAGTACTAGGAATGGCTCCAGGGGGCGCCCAAGCCTCCTCAAAGGACCCACTCTGTCCCAAGACAAGACCTTCCTATTTTCCTCTACTTGTCCCTAGGCTGGCGGTTCGGGGCGGTCCACGGGCGCGTGGGCCGCTTTCCTTCCGAGCTCGTGCAGCCCGCCGCCGCGCCAGACTTCCTGCAGCTCCCGGCGGAGCCGGGCCGGGGCCGGGCTGCAGCCGTGGCCGCCGCCGTGGCCTCGGCAGCAGCCGCACGCGAAGTGGGGCGCCGGAGAGAGGTAAGGGGCAGGGCAGAATCTCCAGGGGCGGGGCCATCCATGGGGTGCAGCCAATCCCACGCAAGGGACTGGTCTGGAGGGCGGGGCCTGGTTTGGAAGCGGAGTCATCACAAGTGGTGAGTGGGGCAGGTTTGAAGGATCCAGATGTGTGGCTGGGAGGTCAGCTTTCACAGCAGGGTCGGAGTAGGGGTGGCGACGGGCCTTGGCAACTGCACCTATCCCGCAGGGTCCTCCAGTCAGGGCGCGTTCCGCTGACAGCGGAGAGGACGCTGTGGCGCTCCCACCGAGCACAATGCTTGAATTTGCCCAGAAGTATTTCCGAGACCCTCGGAGGCGTCCCCGGTGGGTAGTGACCCGTCCTCCGCTTCCCTATCTCCGTGTTGCCTTAAAGTCGTTCGAGTTGTAGGCTGTAGGGCTCCCAGCCCCACTTCTGGCGGGTGGATCCGGAGACCCTTTAGTCTCAGCCTCTGGGTGCCTTCCTGATGGTTGAACTATTGAAACGAGCAGAGATGTAGTCAAAGCCTGAGATGCAGGCCTGGGTAGCAGTGCCCATCTGTTTCAGGGATGGCCTCAAGCTGAAGTCTAAGGAGGACCAGGAGTCCAAAACTCTGGAAGACATGCTTTGCTTCACTAAGGTGCATGTCCTATGCCTCAGTTTCCTGATCTGTAAAGTGGTGATGCAGAAACCCTCTTCCTATCCCCTAGAGCAAATACTTGTCCCCATTGAAAGCCTCGGGCTCTCAGTGTCCGGAGCCAGGGCTCCTTGCAGCAGTGTCTGTCCCCAATTTTGTGATATGGGCCCTCCTGTCATAATACAGCCTGAAAGCATGGTGCGGTTCTCTTCTGTTCTACCAAGTCCCAACTCCATCGTGATACAACTCCTTGGTCTCCTCACAGGCCCCGATCCAGGAATCCCTCATTGAACTCAGTGACAGCAATCTCAACAAGATGGCGGTTGACATGTTCCTAGGTGTGTGGGATGCAGCACTGTGTAACCTGTTTGTTACCACTCTTCCCTCGTTCTCAGAGTTTTCCCTTCCCCAAATCTGAGACACTTGGGAAAAAATGGAAACCTCTAGCTGTCCCAGCTGCCGCCTCCTAGAGAGGAAATGGACCTTGGGGCCTCTTGGGATGGGCAGCTGAAGCATGGCGGCCCTGAGCAGAATGGGTCTTTCCTACAGCTGTGATGAGATTCATGGGAGATGCCCCACTGAAGGGCCAGAATGAACTGGATGTCCTCTGTACCCTCCTGAAGGTGAGTCCTGAAGCTCTGTGCCTTGGTTTCCCCATCTGCCAGTCATAGTGCAGTGGGAAATCTCTCATGCTGCCCAGAGAGGAATGAATGCATCCTGCTGGTGCACGGAGGGCTGAGAACTTCCATACCAGGCAAGTGATCTGGCCTGCCTTTTACAGTTTTGTGGGGATCATGAGGTCATGCGAGATGAATGCTACTGTCAGATTGTGAAGCAGATCACAGACAACACCAGCTCCAAGCAGTGAGTCACCTCCCAGCCCACTGTGCCCACACTCCCCCATCTCAGAACTTCTCCTTCCTCAGCCTTGTGTTGGGAATTGCTTGGTCTGGAGCATGCCATGTCTGCCCTTTCTTCCTCTATAAAAGAGGCGACAATAATGTTTATGTTCAGATTCTTGGCTGCGTCTAACAGAAATCCAACTCAGGGTGATTTGGTCAAAAGTGAAAACCTGCTGGTTCAAGCAGCTGAAATTCAGTCAGGATGTGCTTGCAGGCCCAGCTGGGTCCAGATATCATGAGAAAGCTTTCGTGGATGGGAATGTGTCTGAGAGGTTAAGAATGCTTGCTGCTCTTACAGAGGAACTCCAAGTTCAGTTCCCAGTACCCATGCCAGGCAGCTCACAACTGCCTGTGACTCCAGTTCCAGGAGATCCAACTCTATCTTCTGGCCTCTGCCAGCACCTGCACTTGTGAGCACATACCCACACACAGGCATGCCCACATTAAAACAACAACAACAACAACAATAATAATAATGATAAACAATCTTTAGAAATATGGCAAGCTTCCATCCTCTGGTCCTACTTTTCTTCTAGATTGATAGCATTCCCATACAGTCTCTCTCACAGTTAGCAAAATGACAGCTTTGGGGAACATTTATTTCTTCAGCTCAGGAATCACAAGAAAAGCAATACTGGCCTCAATTTGCTACAGAAATTTTCAAATCCAAGAAGATAGATTTGTGGGGGGGGTCTCTTCCCAATGTGGCGACACTGACTAAGACCCCTTGTTTCTGCGTTCACCATTACTTGTCCAATTGGCCTGCTGAGGGTGGGTGGCTGAGCCTAGCAACTCCAGTAACCATTTTACCAAGTCCCGGCCAGAACACATTTTTGTTTATGTCAGCCACTCAAGCAAGTTGACCCTGGATAGCAGAGGAAAGATCAGATAGTCCCACACAGCTCCTGGAACCACTGTATCCGGGGACTTTTCTAATCTTTCACTTCAGTTGCTTTTTAGCTCTAGTTGGTAAAGCAGAGAAATAAGTGAACTTCATTTTGGACTTTAAAGAAAATGTCACCCTTGAAGTCCAACTTGGAAAAAAGAACACATTTAGCGGTAGGGTGGTAGTGGTGAGGGTGAATGTGTACCACAGTGCCTATGCAGAGGACAGAGGAAAACCTGTGAGAGTTGGGTTTCTCTTCCACCAGGTAGGTCCCCAGGATTGAACTCAGGTTGCCTTTACCCTATGAGACATTTCTCCAGCCCCTGAAGTACAACTTCTGACAAAAGAACCTGAGCAAAAACTGGGTGTGGTGGCATGCTCGTGATCCCAATACTCAGGAGGTGGGAGTAAGAGAAACAGGAGTTCAAGGTCATCCTTAGCTACATACTGAGTTCAAAGCCAGCCTGGGTTACATGAGACTCTGTCTCAAAACAAGTGGGAGTTGGGGGCAGTGGGGTGACTCAGCTGGTGGAAATGCATGTCCCCAAGCCTGGAACCCACACGGTAGAAGAGAGAAGTGACTCCTGCAAGTTGTCTTCTGTCTTTCATGTATGTACAAGTGCATGTGCACACTGACGTATATAAATGTAAAGAAAATTTAAGCAAGATAAAAGAACTTGCACAGTATTTTTGAGATGCTGGTATGCACAAGACGGACAGTGGGCTCCAGCTGTACCTGGCCTAAGAGCTACTCTTTTTACGCTGTTTTCTTTTCCAAGACAGAAACCCTGTGTAGCCCTGGCTGTCCTAGAACTCACTCTGTAGACCAGGCTGGTCTCGAACTCAGAGATCCTCCTGCCTCTGCCTCCCAGGTGCTGGGATTAAAGGTGTGTGCCACCACTGCCCGACATTTTTATACTTCTTAGCTGCTTAAAATTCTCCATAAAGGGTTTGATTGGCAATAACTCCTTAACATTTGTCATTCACCAGGTCCTTGAATGAGGGATCTGATCTGAACCACTGGGACAGATCTCACTCATTCCCACAGTAAGGGACAGTGGGAACCAAAGCACCAGAGGGTTAATGAGCTATGCATTCAGAAAATATTGTTCAGATTGGGGGTGGGTGGGATGTAGGGATTGAAATAAAGTCATACTGGGCATAGTGGCACTTGCCTGTAATCTCAGCACATCGGAAGCTGAAGAAGGATCCAATGTTTGGGGTCACCCTGGACTTCATAGCAAGTCTCCCCCCCGCCCTACCCCCCTCTCGTGTGTGTGTGTGTGTGTGTGTGTGTGTGTGTGTGTGTGTGTGTGTGTGTGTGCTTACCAGTGCATGCATATATGGAGGCCAGAGGTCGACACAGGTGTTAGCCAGTCTGAACTCTAATTGATCCTGTATCCATCTCTAAGCCACCTATGACGTGACCCCTGTGTGCTTACAGGGACAGCTGTCAGCGAGGCTGGAGGCTGCTGTACATCGTGGCTGCCTACTACAGCTGCTCTGAGGTCTTCTACCCATACCTTGTTCGCTTCCTCCAACATGTGAGCTGGACCCCAGGACTGCCTTTCCAAGGTGAGGAGCTGTGTGTGAGTGAGGACACTCACACAGGGACAGGGCATTCAGCCATGGGCTGGCAAAACCAGAGATCCTGGCCCTTGGCAGGTGCCTAGGAGTGTTAACGGATATAAATGGCTCTACAAACACTCATGGAGATCCCAAGAGGGTTGGTGCAGTGGCTCCTCTGATCTCACGTGGGTGTGCCCAGGGAAGGCTTCCTAGAGCAGGAATTGCCCTGGGTAGTGCTTGCACAGAAAGAATTTCCAGGTGGACTTTGCAGAAGTCAAGGCCCAGAAATGGAGTGCATGGCATGTAGGAGAAATGGAGGAGGTATACAAGAACCCGGAACACCAGAGTAGGGCCCTGCTTCTACTCATCCAGGGTCTTCAGTGGCCTGCAGCTGCTAGCACGGTCTCAGCTTTACTTCTGCAGTATGGAGGAAGGGGCTAGCTGCTTCCAGCCTTGTTTCCATAGCAACTCTAAGGAAAAAGACAAGGCATGGTGATGCATATCTGTAATCCCAGCACTCAGGAAACTGAGGCAGGAAAATTAGGAGTTCCAGGGCAGCTTGGGATACATACTGTCATTTCTATTGCTATGATAAAACACCATGACCAAAACCAATGGTGGGAGGAAAGGGTTTATTTCATCTTATAGTTTACAGACTATCATGAAGGAAAGTCAGGCAGGAACTCAAGGCAGGAACCTGGAGATAGAAACTGAAGAAGTACCATGGCTTGCTTGCTTCCTTTTTTTTTTTTAGTCCCAGCTGTCCTGAAACTCATTCTGTAGACCAGGCTGACCTTGAACTCAGAGATCCTCTTGCCTCTGCCTCCTGAAGTGCTGAGATTAAAGGCGTGTGCCACCACTGCCCAGCTTTTAGCCACCTTTCTTGTACCTCCCAGGACCACTTGGCCATGGGTGAGACCAACTACAGTGGGCTAGGCCTTCTCACACCAATCATTACTCAAGAAAATGTCCCATTGTAGTTGGAATTTTCTTTGGGCCACCAACCATCTCCCAAATAAAGACACAGAGACTTATTATTAATTATGAATGTTTGGCCATAGCTTAGTCTTGTCCCATTTGCTCTTTTAACTTAATTTAACCTGTTTTTGTTCATCTACATTTTGCCTCAGGGCTTTCTACTTTTCTTTCATTCTGTATGTCCTACTTTCCTGCTTCCTCCGTGTCTGGCTGGCTGGCTGACTGGCTCCTGGCGTCTCCCTGGCATCTCTTTTTCTTTCTTTTCCTTTGAGCCTAAATTCCTCCTCCTACTTACTCTCCCTGCCTAGAAGTCCTGTCTATACCTCCTCCCTTACTATTGGCCATTCAGCTTTTCATTAGACCAATCAGGTGCCTTAGGCAGGCAAGGTAAAACAGCAACACATCTTTACATAGTTAAACAAATATTCTGCAACACTCCATAGACATGCCCATGGGCCAGTCTGATAGGGCACTTCCTCAGCTGAGGTTTCCTATTCCTGGTGTCTCTAGTTTGTGTCAAGTTGACAAAAAATAATGAGCACATGCACTGAGATCCTCTCTTCAAAAAATAGAGGGACCAGGGCCCTCTAATCAATTATAGTGATGATAGCCATACAGGACAAAGGGGAGCCCCTCCCCCTGAACCTCCCTCTGATTATTAACTGACATGGATAACTAGGGAAGGGGTCCCAGGTGGGAGATGACTGAAGAATGTGCCCCAAAATTCCTGACTCCATCCCTGGAGAGGGAAAGTACACTGCTTAGCTTAGATGCATGGAACACAGATGGTGGGGGTCTCTGTCCCGTGATGCACAGTGAGATGAGGCACTTGGCATGCAGTACCAGTTGACAGAGACAGGGCACCATCATGTCATCTATTGAGCCAGTTGGGAGTGAGCAACATGGTCAACACCTAAGGAGCATGGATATCTCTAGGTCCATACAAAGTCAAGGGCAAGACAAGATTATAACCCCATGAGATGTAGGTTTGCATTCTGCTCTTACACTGCAGGTCTTAATCTTGGTGAATCACTACCCCTTGATGAGTTCACATTCCTCAACTAGCAAAAAGGGAATAAGACCTATTTCTTGTTGAAGGAATGTAGGGGGCTCATGGCTGGGGTAAGAGGAAACTTTTCCTTCCTTGGCCAACCTTGAGCAAGGCCTCGGCTCTCTGCCTCTGCAGGGATTGCCAAGGCCTGTGAACAGAACCTGCAGAAGACCTTGCGTTTCGGGGGCCGTCTGGAGCTCCCCAGTAATATGGAGCTTCGAGCTATGTTGGTGAGCCTACAGCGGGGCTGGGGTCGAGATGAGTGGGAGACACAAGCTCTCTCTACCCAGAACCCTTTGCTAGGTGCACGTGCCCTGCGTGGTGTGTGAAGATGGCTCCTGTCAATCCTGGTGCATAAAGGTTCCTGCACAGACATGCCTCTGGGTATGGGGACTCCCGTGAGGGTGATAGGGTCCAGGCTTCCAACTTTCCTCTGCTTACCTACCCCAGGCAGGCCGAAGTTCCAAGAGGCAGCTTTTTCTTCTTCCAGGAGGCCTTGAACGCCATCTGAAAATCAAAACATGCACTGTAAGTGAGGAGTGTCTCAACAAACTGGGGCTAGGAGCGGGTAGGGATGCCAGGCTCTGGGTTGGGTGGAGTGAGCATCAGTGGTCCAGAGACTCCCATGCAGCCTCAGGAGATACGGCTTGAGGTTAGTTGCTCCCCCACTACTGTGGGTTCAGCATCTGCAGATTCAACCAACCGCAGATTGAAAATATTAGGGAAAAGTCACATTGGAACAGCACAGATTCTTTTCCTGCCTTTCTCTAAACAGTATCGTATGACAATGCCCACACAGCACTCTACTATATTTGGTGTTATTAGTTAGAGATGATTGAAAGTCTAAGGAGGATATGTGTGGGGTCACATGCAAATAACTATGCAATTTTAAGTAATGGCCTTGGGCATCTCAGGAGTTTGGTGTCTGCAGGGGGTCTTGCAATAGGTCCCTGATTGATACTGAGAAGGTAACAGCAAACTGAGACTTCAAGAAGCTAAGAGTCGCCGGGCGGTGGTGGCGCACGCCTTTAATCCCAGCACTCGGGAGGCAGAAGCAGGTGAATCTCTGTGAGTTCGAGGCCAGCCTGGACTACCAAGCAAGTTCCAGGAAAAGGCGCAAAGCTACACAGAGAAACCCTGTCTCGAAAAACCCAAAAAAATAAATAAATAAATAAATAAAAAATAAATAAATAAAAGGGCAAATCGGGAGCCAGTTCCAAAAGCCGTGCTCTGTCAGGCTGAACCACAGAATCCTATACCTCTTTGTTGGTGGATAGGGTCCAACTTTTCCTCTCTGGCCTTCCCAGGTGGCCCTGGATGTGATAGAGGGGCTCTGCACCGAAATGGCCCTGACGTGTCCTGAAGCCTTTGATGAGTATGTCATTTTTGTTGTCACCAACCGAGGTGAGTAGCCAAAAGGACTGAACATCCTAGGCTCCTTCATGAACCAGCACCACCTTTGGCCATGGGGGCCTCTTTACCCTGCCCTGATGGCCAGGCCAAAGGTCACTTTCTCTGAACCCCTTAACCTCCATGAGAGAGGACCTCTGTGCACTGAGCTCTCTCCCTGAGCCTTTTGTTTGTTATGTTCTGTACAAGTCTGTCTCCCCTTTAGACTGTGGTTCATGGAAGATAGCACCTCTGAACCCTGCTTTGGTCTCTCAGAGCCTCCTCAGTAGAGAAGCTGTGCTCTAGACCCTTGTATTTTGAGAAAGTTTCATCCATAAAACTAGATTCCTGAAACCCCATGTGGGAACATTTGCTCCAGTCCTCAAGCCCTCAGAGTAGCATGTAAGCCCCTCCTAAGGTCTCAATGGGCCCTTCTCTCAAGGGACCCTGGGTACACAGGGAACCTCACACAATCCTAAACCCCTCCAATTTGCTACATGCCCACCCTAGGCTAGTTTTGCCTTCCACCAACTGGTAGTCACAGCCATCCCCAGGTATCCCCTCATGAGTGTCTCAGCTCTTCTTTCCCCAGGTCCAGGCAGGACAGAGGGGGTGGGGATGGCAGGTAATAGCAAACATTTATTGAGCAAATAGTAGGCATGCTTCAAAGCATTTAATGGCATAAACACCTGTGGTTTGTTTGTTGGTTTGTTTGGTTTTTTTGCTTGGAGATATACTGGGAGTCAAACCCAGAGTCTCATGCATCCTAGGTAAGCCATCTCTGACTGAGAAATGCCTCCACCCCAGATCCAAGTGCTATAAAGTCTTCCAACTCCCACACTCTGTAGGGTAGACTCTTCTCTTTGCTATTTACAGTTGGGGAAACTGAGGTCCGGAGAAACTTTAGTCTCCTGTGGCTGCTGTAACAAATGACCACAAGCTCAGTGACTTACAATAACACCAATTGTCTTACAGTTCTGAGAGTCAGTGATACTAGAATAGAAACATGGTTAGAATTGCTTTTTTCTTGAAGCTTTAGGGGAGGTTCCATTTCCACCCTTTCCCAACTTCTCCAAGCTGCCCACAGTTCTTGGCTTGGGGCTCCTTCCCTGTCTCTGAAGCTAAGAGTATTGTTTTCAGATGTCTTTCTTCTGCCCCAAACTCCACCCCACCCCACCCCCCACCCTCCGTCTCTGACTCAGCCTCTGCCTCTCTTTTCGGATCTTCAGAGCTTCCATTTGGCCTATCCAGTAATCTAAGACCCTTAATCACATCTGCAATGTCCCTTCTGCCGTAAAGGTGACATAGTCACAAGTTCTAGGCATTAGGATATTGCTTCTCCAGAGGGACTGTTCTCAGACACCACAGAGACCTGAGCAAGGTTGCATGGTGGAGGTCAGAAACCAGGCAATCTGGCTTTAGGACTCTGGACTCTTATCATCACGCCAAGTAGCCCTCCATAGTGCAGTTTTTGTTTGTTTGTTTGTTTTGTTTTGTTTTACTAAAGAAGTGGGGCAGGTAGCAGAAACATCAGTACGAGGGAGAAGCATATGTATGTATCTCTCTCCCAGCTTAAAGCTCAGGCCTTCAACCCAGCCCCCCACAGATGTCCAGCAAGGGGCTCCCCTGAAAGAGGTCTGCAGAAAGGTTCATGACTAAGGCCTGCTGTGCTCTTTTGTGACCACAACCTCTCTGGAAAAGGAACTAGGATTTCTCAGTGCAGAACCTGAGGCCCTTTCCAGACCCTGGCAGGCACTCCAGAACATTCAAGGCCCCTTCCTGGGGAGGAATGGGATGTCAGTGGTTTCTTTAAATTGGAGCAAATCCTCCTGTGGTCACCAGCACGTCACTGGTGCACAGACATCCTGCTTTGTTGGTCCGTTCCCTTTCATAAGGAAGGTGCATCCTTGCTGATGAGACGTCACTTGGCTGGAGGTTGCTGCCGTACATGACCTGCACCACAGGTACACTTCTCTCAGCCGTGCCTCTTTCTCCCTGTAGGCCAGCACGTGTGTCCACTGAGCTGCCGGGCCTACATCCTGGACGTGGCTTCAGAAATGGAGCAGGTGGAAGGTGGCTACACACTCTGGTTCCGGCGGGTGCTTTGGGATCAGCCACTGAAGTTTGAGAATGAGCTGTATGTGACCATGCACTACAATCAGGTGAGAGATGTGACCTCTCTGTTGTTCTGAACCCTATAAAATGGTGTGTGTGTGTGGGGGGGTCTGTCGCGTCACAAAACACACATGCTACACCCAGATTTTTGTGGAACTTGTACCAAAGCTTTAGCAATTCCACGTACGAAACATGGCCACATTGTTGGATGTGGTGGCGCACGCCTTTAATCCTAGTGCTCAGGAAGCAGAGCCAGGCAGATCTCTGGGAGTTAGAGGCCAGCCTGGTCTACAGAGCAAGCTCCAAGCCAGCTAGGGCTACACAGAGAGACCTTTTCTCAAACCCACAGCCACTTCGTTTTGGGGGCCACACAGTGTTGAGCCCTCCATCTGCCTAGCCTGGTAGTGTGCTACTCAAGGACTAGCAAACGCTTGATACCAGCTGGTCCTGCCCCAGTTCTACAGGATCAGAGACTCTAGATGCAACTCTGAAATCTGGTTTGACACGCTCTCTGCCTTGGGTATCAATTTTGAGAAACATGTATCTAATGAACACTTGCGCACACTCTACTGTTTATGTTTTGTTTTACCTAGCCCGCTCTTCCCATGTTACCATGGAAACTCCCTCATAGTCTTCATCCCTCAGAGCTCTTCTTCCATATGCATCCATCCTCATTCCCTGCAAACCAGGAAAGTGATGAACCACAAACTCCTGGAAGTGGGAAGGACTGTAGTCAATGCAATTGCCTGACCCAGAACCCCTGACAATGAACGCCTGGACGTGCCCCTACCTGGCCGCCCCTCATGCCAATGCTTCCTGCAGGTCCTGCCAGACTACCTGAAGGGCCTCTTCAGCAGCGTGCCAGCCAGCCAGCCCATCGAGCAACAACTGCAGCAGGTGTCCAAGCTGGCTTCCCTGCAGCACCGCGCCAAGGACCACTTCTACCTGCCCAGCGTGTGAGCACCTGTCCACTTGTCTCAACCGGGACAGGGGTGGGGTGGGGGGGCAGACCACCCATCCCCTCTTTTCCCACAACTGCCAAACCCCAGTTTCCTTCCCCTCTGTACCAATTAGACAGGAAGAGGCTTTCCTGGCCTTGTACCTCTTTTCCTCTCCTGCAACATATTGTTACTAGCCCGTAACAAATTTAATGACTGATGAGAACCTTCAAGACTCACATACCTTGTAGGCTAGAAAATATACAGCCATGAGGATTTAGCCACATAAACAGTCACTGAGCTAGGTGTGGTGGCTCATGCCTCTAATCCCAGCAATGGAGATGTCAAAACAGGAGGATCACTTGATCCCAGGAATTCAAGGCTAGACCGGGCAACATAGAACCCTATCTCAAAACACAAATCCAAACAGTTTGCCGACTTATTTGCAATAACAACATAGCTGTTGCATGTTAATACGTGTAGAATGTGATGAAAACTAACCATGGTGCCTGAGTGAGAATACCATCAATATCTGACATTTGTGAACTTTTCCTGACTGACTCACCTAACTTCAGTCCGCCATCGTCTCACTGCACAGACCAGCCTGCCCTTCACGGCCTCTGAGACGCTTTATGGTTCACTTGTGAGAAGATGAGGGTGGAGGAAAGGCAAATGACGTGTTGGCGTCACTGTGAAAACGGTTGTGGCCTCACAGCCCCTGAACCACACTTTGAGAAGCCTTGTGTGAACAACAGCAAGACACTATCTTTACCATGTGCGTCTCATGCCTCTCCTGCCCAAGGCCCAAATGCTGAGAGTGCTTTCCCTTTTTTTGGTGACAGGGTCCCATGCAGTCCAAGCTGGCCTCAGTACGTAGCTGGGGGTGATACTGAGCTGCCTCCACCTCCCGAGTGCTAAAATTCCCAGGCCTGAACCAACACACCAAATTCTCAAGGCATTTTTCATGGAATAATTGTAAACAACAAGAAGAAACCCTTAAAAGTGTAATTCCAGCCGGACGGTGATGGCGCACGCCTTTAATCCGCACTCGGGAGGCAGAGGCAGGTGGATCTCTGTGAGTTCGAGGCCAGCCTGGGCTACCGAGTGAGTTCCATGAAAGGCGCAAAGCTACACAGAGAAACCCTGTCTCAAAAAACCAAAAAAAAAAAAAACAAAGTGTAATTCCAGAGGCTGGGGGATGGCTCACTCCACAAAGTACTGCCATCTAGCGTCAGAACCTGAGTTTGAACCCCACCACCCGCAGAAAATGCCACACATGGTAGGTAACATGTGCCTGTAATCTCATGACTCAGAGGTAAAGACAGGATCACTAATTAGCCAGTCTAGCTAATTAGTGAACTCCAGGTTCAGCGAGAGACCTTCTCTCAAAAAATAAATGAAGCCAGGTGTGATGGTGCATGTCTTTAATCCCAGCACTCCAGAGGCAGAAGAAAACAAATCTCTATGAGTTTGAGGCCAGGTTGATCTACATAGTGAGTTTTAAGCCAGCCAAGGCCACATAGTGATACCCTGCCTCTGACAATCAAACACACATCAATAACAATAAAATAATAATAATAATAATAATAATAATAATAATAATAGTTGGAGAAACAATTGAGGAAGACACCCAACATTTACCTCTGGACTCTTACCCCAGCAGGGCAGGGGAACTTTGGGAGGGGGAAGGGGCTGCCTCAACTTCTCCTAGCCCTTTCCCCAACTGCAGCCCAGGGCAGGTGGGATGGCCTGGGACTGCCCAAGAGGCAGAAGGTTTGTCCTCAGAGAGCCTGCATATGTCAGAGGAGGGTGAGAGCAGGACCTGGGCCAGGTGGGGATGAAGGCCCCGGGGTCTCAGCTCCGAGGTTCCTGCTGTGCACACCTGGGTGTCTCCCCACCTTTGTGCTTCTCACCCTTTGCCTTGAGCTCCTTGGGTGCAGGAACTAAGAAACCCAGTCTATGGCCGGGCGGTGGTGGCACATACCTTTAATCCCAGCACTCGGGAGGCAGAGCCAGGTGGATCTCTGTGAGTTCGAGGCCAGCCTGGTCGACAGAGCGAGATCCAGGACAGGCACCAAAACTACACAGAGAAACCCTGTCTCGAAAAACCAAAAAGAAAAAGGAAAAAGAAAGGAAAAGAAACCCAGTCTGGATTCACATCTTACCCTGTGCACACTTCCTCTCTCAGTCACTGCATGACCTTGGGCCCCTTGGTGACCCTCTCAAAGCCTCAGCTCCCTCAGCTGTGAGTAGGGACCCCATATTTCCTTCCCATACTCCCCTACATTTGGTATTCCAGGGAAAGATGACAGTGATGTCTGCTAGGTGTCATACCTGCTTTGAAGTGGAGACCAACAGGTGAGTGGGAGGGTGGGTGCTCAGAAGCCCTGTACCCTCTGCACACAGGCGTGAAGTTCAAGAGTACATCCCAGCCCAGCTCTACCACACCACACCCAGTGACACCTGGCTCAACCTGGTTAGCCAACACCGGCAGCAGACTCAGGCACTCAGCCCCCACCAGGCCCGTGCTCAGTTCCTCGGTGAGAGCTGAGAGGAGGGCTGGAGACATCAGGGGGAGCTGAACTGAGGGTGGCCAGAGGGAGGTTGGAGATACTACTTTCTTTTCTTTTTTAAAAAAATTATATATTTTTAGTTTATTGGTGTTTTGCCTGTATGTCTGTGTGAGGGTGTTGGATCCTGGAGTTATGGACAGTTATGAGCTGCCATGTGGGTGCTGGGAATTGAACCCAGATCCTCTGGAAGAGCAGCCAGCGCTCTTAACCACTGAGCCATCTCTCCAGACTCAAGGAGATGCCATTTTCTTTGCACAAAAGCAGTTTTTGGTGGCGGCCGAGCTGCCTACCTATCTGGAAAGACTCGTTACCACTTTCCTGAAAGTATCATGTGGGTTGGAAATGATGTTGGGCAGAGAGCTAAAGGCGAAGGGAACTAGCAGGTGGGTACAGGAAGAGGCCAGGAGGGGAGGAAGAGAGGTCTGAGCAGACTGGAGCGGAGAGCAGCTTTTGCAGGCAGCTGGCAGGGCAGGGCAGTGGCTGTCCCGTTGTCCTGGCCCAGGTGTCCTGATAGCAGCTCTCCACACTGCAGGCCTCCTCAGTGCTTTTCCCCTGTTCGGCTCCTCCTTCTTCTTCATCCAGAGCTGCAGCAACGTCACCGTACCAGCCCCCTGTATCCTCGCCGTCAACCATAATGGCCTCAACTTCCTCAGCACCAAGACCCATGTGAGTGTCTTCGGCCAGGCCCTGCCCACCTGTCCCTTGTCCCTTCTGTCCTTTGGCACCCCCACCTACTCTTAGGGACAAAGATTTGCCAGCTTCACATTTACCTCTTTTATGGTCTGCAGCCAATTCCTTCTTCCCCTTCAGAGCCTTCGTTTGGGAAGTGGGAATAATAGAATTCTGGCCCCCACCGGGCTATGTGAAGGGGCCATGTAGGCAAACACACCGAGAGCATGTGAGGAGTATGTCAGGCTGGCAGAGCTGCACACCACAGGCTGGGAGCCCTATGCAATTCAAGGTCATTTGCTCATGTTTCTGGAAGCTGAAATTCCAAGATTTCTGCAGCTTGGGAGCTTTGGTTTCTCCTTGGCTTGTTGACAGTAGCCTTTTTGGTTTTTTTTTGTTTGTTTTTGTTTTTCAAGACAGGTTTCACTGTGTAGCCTTGGCTGTCCTGGAACTTTTGTTCTGTAGAACTAGGCTGGCCTTGAATTCACACAGGTCTGCCTGCCTCTGCCTCCTGAGTGCTGGGATTAAAGGCATTCGCCACCACCACCCGGCCAACTTTCCTCTTCTTATAAGGACACTAGTCATGCTGGAATGGAGCCCAACCTAGTGGCCTCATTTTCATTGATTTAACTGGTTTTTTTTTTCAGGGGCGGGGGGGGGGGGGGGCTGTATAAATTTGTGGCCCAGGCTGGCCTTAAATGATGCTCCTGACTCAGTTTTCCAACAGTGGGATTATAAACACACACCATATGCCTACCCTTTATCTCTCTACCTTGTGGTACTGAGGATGGAACCAGCCCCCCCCCCCCCGCCATATTAGGCAAGCACTCTATCCCTGGCCCCTTAACCCCCTCTTTACAGGTTCTACATCCAAATATAGTCAGGTTCCAGGGGGCTAGGGCTTTGTATAGCATTAAGGAGTTGGACTTGCCACCCTTTTCTTGGTTCCTGCTCTTAAAAACAAACATGGGCTGTGAGTTTGGGTTTGCTTAGGTTTGCTTAGAGGTGAGTCTAGGGACACTAGAGGAAGAAAGTGCGGTGGAGAAGGGGCAGGTGTATAGTGGTTGGAGACCCTGGGGCAACACGGGACATACCTGTTACGGTGTGTTTTTTCTCCTGGAGTAAGGAGCTGCCATGATTCCTCACTCCACATCCCACTGGTCTAAAGGTGTCTCCTTTAGGTACTAACCTTTCTCTGCATGGGGACCAGAAATAAAGCTCTTTGATAAAAGGGTACAGGTGTTCCAGGAAGCAGCTCTGACATAAAGGTTGGAGTACCCACAGTACCCACTACCCTTCGCATCTGAGCCATGAAGCATCAGTATTTGTTGAATCAGTTTCCCGTGGTGAGGAGACTGAGATCCAGAGTGGGCAGGTGAATTGCTCCAAGTCACAAGTCAACAAGTGTCTGAGGAACTAGAGCTGGACCTTCTGTCTTTTGATGCGACTTTTAGGGGAAGGTTTGATATGGTAGAGACTACCCTCACCCTTCATTTCTGTCTGGCTCCTCTGTTCTCATCCCCAGGAGCTAATTGTGAAGATTCCCCTGAAGGAGATCCAGTCCACATGGACTCAGCAGCCCACGGCCAATTCCAGCTACCCTTATGTGGAGATCTCACTGGGGGATGTGGCAGCCCAGCGTACCATGCAGCTCCAGCTGGAGCAGGTAAGTCCAGTGCTGCTAGCCAGACCCTGTCACAAGGCTCTGGCTCTCTCATTCTACACAGTAGGCTCTTCTCTGGCCTGGGCTATGCCCCAGGGAGCATACAGCCCAGTACAGGCAACAGAGCTGTGAGTTCTCATGGAGGCCTTCCCAAGAAGCAATTTAGCAGTGCACTGTGGGGAAGGATCCAGGTTGTTTGCAGAATAGTAAGGTATTTGGCGGGGTATTAGGAAGATTCACCAGGGAAAGAGAGGGAGGCCTCAGAGCTCTTTGAATGTTAAAATAAAACTTCGGAAGATGGGGGTATAATTCAGGTGCTAGAGTACTTGCCTAACATGTGTGAGGCCATAGGTTTGATCCCTAGTACTGCACAAAAACTGGACATGGTGATACATGGTGCATATCTGTAATCCCTGCAACCTCAGAAGGTAGGAACAGGAGGATCCTGAGTTCAAGGTCTTCCTTAACTACAAAGGCAAGCCTGTGTTAGAGACTCTAGAAAAGAAGGAGGAGGAAGAAGAAGGAAGAAAAGGAAGAAAAAGGAAGAGGAGAAGGAATAATAATAACCAGAAGCTTTCTGAGGTCATCACTAGGGAGCAATAGAAGGTTGGTGAGTGGACAGCTTGGCACAGGAGGTCTAAGGAGGTTGACCTGGCCTGAGACATGGCAGCTGGATTGTGGGGACCTGGGATTGGAAGCTAGGTAAGTAAGTTTCCTTGTGACATCTAGACTAGATGACATCTAGACTAGGAAACTGTTCTCCTGGCTAAATCTTATGGTCCCTAGCATCAGGACAGAAACAGAGCCAGGGTTGAGGCAGAGAGAGGGACAGGATCTTGGATAGCCTCATTTTTTGCCCTTTCTAGCCTGCCACCTCCCCTGTGAGACTGGGCCTTCCGCTGTACCAGCAAGAGCCCTGGAGAACCTGTGACGCAGGACCAGGCTTCTGGATGGCCTTCTGCCATACACATTTGTCTTGCCTCCCCCACTCTCCTTCCTCTGGTAACCATGATTTCTTTCCCTGCAACCTCTTGACCCCAGGACCCATTTGACTCTTTTTGTTTGTTTGTTTCTTGAGACAGGGTTTTTCTGTGTAGCTTTGGTGCCTGTCCTGAATCTCCCTCTGTAGACCAGGCTGGCCTCGAACTCACAGAGATCCTCCTGCCTCTGCCTCCCAAGTGCTGGGATAAAGGCATGCGCCACCACTGCCCGGCTCCCATTTGATTCTTTTCCCAAGAACTTCTAACAGTGTGGTTGATCATTCATTGGGCACAATTTCCAATTATCTCTGCAATGGCGATGTCCTGGCTAGGTAACAAAGACTATTGGGGTCCAGCCCTTTAATAGCCTTTTCCCAGGGTCCATGGAAGAATCTAACAACCAGCTGAGGAATATAATCTTAATGATATCAAATTAATCTACGTCCACAAAACTCCTTAGTCCATTCACTTTATTCTTCTGAGTCGGTTCTCTCTCTACACAGCTTCTTTTCTGCTCTCTTACTTAGCTCCTTTCTTGCCTGATTCTCCCTACATTTTTCTGCTGTTCTAAGTTCTATCTTAATTCTCCCATCTTAGTTCTTCCCATCTTAGTTCTTTCCCATCCAATTCTTCCCTATCTAATTCTTCCTAACTTAATTCTTCCCCATCTTAATTTTCTCTCAAGTCTCCGAGGTTTTCAGCTATATACCCGTGCAAGCAGCAACACTCTGGCCAAGGCAAGGTCACCAGGTTGGAATTCTTTCAGGGTCAAAACGAGGGGTGACAAGATCCACACAAAGAGCAGCAACTGTCAGTTACCATTAGCAACCCAAAAGGGAAGTGACTAGATCTAGAACTAGAACTAGACATCTAGAACTAGAGATCTAGAACTAGAGATAGCACTTGGAAAAAGGAGGGTTAAGCTTAATTAGCACATCTGCCTGGTCTGGATGGTTGTCTCAGTATAAATTTTTACCTTCTCTCAGTAACTAACAGATAGTCTGAATGCTTATCTATCTGCAGTCTGTTCTAGGAGGTCTTAAAGGTATCTCAGATAAAATACTTTTTGTCTGGCGGAGGTCCTGGCTGGATGTTTCTAATGACGATAATTACAAAAAGGCCTGAAATTAGGGGTCTTGGCTGTGTGACTGCTGTTAGCACAGTTGGGGTATGTTATCCAAATACTCTAATTGTATAGGCGAAATTGTGCCCAATGAATGATCAATCACGCTGTTAGAAGTTCTTGGGAAAAGAATCAAATGGGAGCCAGGCAGTGGTGGCGCACGCCTTTATCCCAGCACTTGGGAGGCAGAGGCAGGAGGATCTCTGTGAGTTCGAGGCCAGCCTGGTCTACAGAGGGAGATTCAGGACAGGCACCAAAGCTACACAGAAAAACCCTGTCTCAAGAAACAAACAAACAAAAAGAGTCAAATGGGAAAGCTACAATAGCACACAAAAAATTCATTGCAGGATACAGCTAATACATTCAAGAGCCAATATCACCAAGAAAGACTCTTTGAGTCTTAGCTTCTGAAAGAGTTCTTAACTCTTCTAGGTAATAGCTTTTGCCATAGTCAGCTGAGTCCCTACTTCATATTTCTATAGCTTGCAGCAGTTAAGGGTTCTATTGCTGTGATGAAACACCATGACCAAAAGCAAGTTGGGGAAGAAAGGGCTCATTTGGCTACACTTCCACATTGTAGTCCATCACTGAAGGAAGTCAGGACAGGAACTCAAACAGGGCAGGAACCTGGAGGCAGGAGCTGATGCAGAGGCTGTGGAGGGGTGCTGCTTACTGGATTGCTCTTCACGGCTTGTTCAGCCTGCTTTTTTATAGAACCCAGGACCACCGGCCCAGGTGGCCCCCCCCTACAATGGGCTGGGCCCTCCCCCATCAATTACTAATAAGAAAATGCCTCACAGCTGGATCTTTCTCAAGGCATTTTCTCAGTTGAGGTTCCCTCCTTTCACATAATGCTAACGTGTGTCAGGCTGACATAAAACAGCACATGTGTCATTCTTCCCTGTCCTGCTCTAGCCTGAGCCCTAGGTTCCCGCCATGGCTCCTCTGACTGCTCTCCTTCCATCCAATCTGTTCTCTCATCACCACGGCAGCCACCTCTCTCTCCTCCTGCTCAACTGCTCCACCTTCCTCGCCTCTTACAGCTCCCCTGTGCTGAAGTCATCGGCCCCTCCCTGCTCGAGATCCTTTGCACCGACGATTCTCTCTACCTGAACCGTTCCTTCCTCCTTGACTCCTCACAGGGCTGATTCCCTCCCTTTACTTAGGTTTCATCATAAAAGCCCCTCTGCCAAAGCCTTCCTCAGCCCTCCTCCCTGATGACCTTCCAACTCTGCCTCTGTGGCCCCCAGCACACCTTGCGTATCATTTATGCTTTTGTTTGCCGTTGCCGGCCTCCCTACCAGAACGTCAGCTCCATAAGGACTTATCCATCTTCCTTGCATCATGTCAGCAGCACAGTGCCTGGCACATAGCAGGTGTTAGTGTGTACTCGTTGGGTTGATAAGTTTATGAATGGGTGGGTGGGTGAGCAAGTGAATGGATGGGCAGATGGATGGATGGGAGAATGAGTAGAAAGGTGCACAGGTTGATGAATGAAAATCTTTCTGGCCTCTCCAGTTCCTTGCCGTCCCCTCCTGTAAAGAAGCTACTACCTCTGTCCTGTATGTGTGGAGGGACACGGTCTTTTACTCATTCCTTCATTCAGCAGACGGCCATTGAGTATCTCTGTATAGCATGCCTTAACAAATGTGACTGAATCCCCTGCTGTACTGGCTCTCATAGAGCCCACTTTCAGATCTAGTTTTTTTTTGTTGTTGTTGTTGTTGTTGTTTGTGTAACAGCTCTGGCTATCCTAGAACTCACTTTGTAGACCAGGTTGACCTTGAACTCACAGAGATCCACCTGCCTCAAGTGCTGGGATTAATGGCACGTGCCACCACTGCCTGGCTTCAATTTCAGATCTGTAAAAAAAAATCTCACTATATAACCATGATCCATACTGGGAAGGGTGCACAGGAGATTTGATCTATGTAAGAGGCAATTGGGGATGGTTCCCAGGAGGAGGTAGTTTCCAAGTGTGGTAGCATTTCAGTCTCTGACAGGCTGTGCAAGAGGTTAATAAAGCATCCCTGCTGCCTTTGAGCCTGTTTCCATATCCGCTAAGCTGGGCATAAGCATAGCAGCCTGTGAACAGGCAAAAGATTGACCGTAAGGAGCTGTGTTGGTCAGCCTTCCATTGCTGTGATAAACTCCTGAGATAACTTAATTAGAATCTTACTATTTAGCCAGGCGATGTGACGTATGCTTTTAATCCCAACGCTCAGGAGACAGAGGCAGGTGGATCTCTGAATTTGAGGCCAGCTTGGTCTACAGAGTGAGTTCCAGGACAGCCAGGGTTATGCAGAGAAACCCTGTCTCAGAAAAAAAATCTTAGGCCAGGAATGGTGGCATGGCCTTTAATCCCAGAATGGGGGGGGGTATGGGGGGGGTGGAGGCAGGTAGATCTCTATGAGTTTCAAAAGCCAGCCAAATCTACACACTGAGACCTGTCTCAAAAAAAAAAAATCTGATCTTGCTGGACATGGTGACACATGCCTATAATCTCTGTAATCTCAGCCTTGGGGAGGCAAAGGCAGGAGGATCTCTGTGAGTCAAGGCCAGTCTGGACCTGGCCTATGTGAGTTCCAGGCCAGCTCAGGCTACACATTGAAACCCTGTCTCAAAACAACAACAAAATCCCATCTAACCCACTACAACCCTGCTAGACTGGGTCCGGTAAACTGAAACCCTTCAGATAAGGCCACCGAGTCTCAGGGAACCATAGTAACTAACCTTACATTACACAGCACACAGGCAGCAAAGCTGATGTCCCATGCACTGTCCCTTACTTGCTGTCCCTTCTGGTCTATGGCCCACCAGCTCTTTCAGAGGGAATGAGGATAAGAGTCCTCACATGGGTCATGTGACCTCTGCTCTTTTCCCAGCCCCATTTCTGTTTCCGGGGATGCAGGTTAAGAGACTATTCTGTGTCCCCCTGCAGGGTCTGGAGCTGTGTCGTGTGGTGGCTGTGCATGTGGAGAGCATGCTCAGTGCCCGGGAGGAGCGGCTTACACTGCCCCCGAGCGAGATCACCCTGCTCTGACATGGCCTGTCTTCTCCATGCTTCCTGCCAGAAGATTACTCTGTGGCCTAAGGGTAGTTGCTGGGCCTTTCAGGACCAGTGACCCCAGACAAGGGCCAGAACCTATGAGGAGATCGAAGGAGACAGGAGGAAAAACTCAAGAACCCAACGGGACCTATCTGGAACTGGGATGGAATCACGGATGCAGCCAAGGGTTAGTTAGCAGAAGTAACTTTTAAAGGCTGGCCTGTCATACAGTGAGGAATAAATCAGGACCACTGGGCCTCCAGAAGGTGACAGGCTCCACCTTGACTACTACCCTTGACAGGGAAGCCCCACACCAGTAGTCTAGATGTATTGGGGCCTGCCTTTGGTTTCTTTAAGGCTTGATACTCAGATCTGCTCCAGATTCATCCCCAGCCTTCCATGTGTCCTTGTCAAGTGCCCGCAGCCTGGATCTGTGACCCTTGGTCGTTTCTTTGCAAATAAGAGGTATTCCTGGCAACCATGTTCTCCATGAACCTACTCAATGGCTGGAAAGCAAGCCTGAGAGAGGAGGGAGAGGCACAGATGTACCAGACTCACTGCAATGAACAGCATTTCCAGCAGACACATCTGCCCTTCCCCCTCTCTAAGGACCCTGGACCTCCACTCTACAATATTTTGGTAGCCCCAACCCCAGCTTCCATCTCAGGATGGACCACCCAAAGCACAAGAGTGGGGCAGTAAAGAAGGTTCATCACAGGACTGGAGAGACAACTCAGCAGTTAAGAGCACTGTTCTTCCAGAGGACCCAGGTTCAATTCCCAGCACTTACATGGCAGCTCACAACTGTCTGTAACTCCAGTTCCAGGGGATCTGACACCTTCACACCAATGCACATAAAATAAATTTAAAAAAAAAATAAGTTCCATCTCTGGGGGTAGGGCTAGGAAGGCTGAGAAAAAGCCTTTCAGAGATTGGTACATTATGATTGGATTTTGAAGGATGAGTAAAGTTTGCTAAGAATAGATGGAAAGGAGAGGGTTAGACATTCTAGAGGAAACCATAGTTTCCTGCTGGATTTGCAGATGGAGGCTCTAGCCCAAAATGATGGCTAATGTACAGTAGGCCCTTCAAAAATACTTGCCATATAAATGAAAGGATAAATAAAGGAATGCTAGGTATATTGGTATACACCTGCAATCTCAGTGCTCCAGAGGCTGAGTCAGAAGGATTACTTCGAGTTCGAGGCCAACCCAGGCTACACAGCAAGACCCTGTTTGGAAAAGAAAAAAAAAGATGCTGGGGAGATGCCTCAGTGGTTAAATGCATTGGCTGCTCTCCCAGAGGACCTGGGTTCAGTTCCTAGCACCCACACAGCAGATGACAACCATTTGTAACTCCAGTTCCACAAGGTCTGTTTTCCATGAGTACCAAGCAACATGTGATGTGCACACATGTGCAGGCAAAATACTCATACACATAAAAAATAAAAATTTAAAAATTTAAAAATAAAACGGATGAATGTGGATGGGAAGTACTGGTGATGGGAAACTGGTAGAAGTCACAGAGGCTTGGGAACTGGGGCTAGCCTGGCAACGGCAGCCATGACACCAGAGGAAGGAACTGAGACTCATTCAGCCGTTCAGTACCTTGCCAGGCACTGGGAACTACTATACTGGATAACTATGGACCAGGACTAACCCCAGGAGTGGGACCAGGCAAGTGATAAGAACAGGTCCCAGCTCATGCGGCCTAAGGTGATGTCACTAGCAGCAGGTGACCCTGGTATTAGAAAAGCTTTTGAGGGTGACTTGGGCCCAGCTTCTTGGGAACTCACAGGATTTCATCACAAGAACTTTCCACTAGTGATGGATTACAACCAGGGGCAAGGAGCAAGGAGACCTGAAGGAAGGCTGCCTTTGGCCCAGAGCCTGTAAAACTCCAGTATGACCTCGGGGTGGGGGTGGGGGAGGGGAGGGTGGAGGATTGACATCTTGGGGGAGATTTTGGATGTCTAAGCAGCAGTATACTAGGGCTTGATGAGTCAGGATGTTGTAGAGGGTCAAGGAAGAACTTTGATGTACTTACCTCAAGGTTCTCACTGCATGCTACTGCCTGAGGCTGGCTTTCTGTAGAAACAGGCACTGAGGGCAGGCAGGAAGTCATACCAGCACTACCATAAGGGCTGTAGCTCGGGGTGACTCACTTGGGGTTCCTTAGCCCTGGTGCCTACCTATATGAATTAATTCTCTTGATACTGTGAAAAAATACCTGACAAAAACAACTTAGGGAAGAGCTGTTTTCCTCATAGTTTCAGGGTGCAGTCAATCATGGCAGAGGAGTCAAGGCAGCGGGAGCTCCAGGAACCTCCTCCCATTCAAGAAACAGGAAGATGAAAGCCGGTCATGGAAAGCATGGCCAGTGGAATATGAGGCGCTGGGCAATTAGGATGTCCACAGGAGATTTGCTCAAATATGCTCAGTTTATTCACACAAGCATTCCTTACAATGCCATGCTATTATAAAGATTATGGTAATCTCATGTAAACAGACATCTCACCAAACAGGGAACATGGGCAGGAAATGCTTCAGGCTTCTTTTAGGGCAGTGGTTCTCAACCTTCCTAATGCTTTGACCCTCTTATACAGTTTCTCATATTGTAGTAACCCACAACCATAAAAATTGTTTTTGTTGCTACTTCATAACTGTAATTTTGCTACTGTTATGAACTGTAATGTAAATATCTGTGTTTTCCAGTGATCTTAGGTGACCCCTGTGAGGGTCATTCAAACCCTAAAGGGGTCACTAACCTGTGGGGGTCCAGCTCCCACCTTTCCCAGGGTTCTTAGGAGAGAGGGATAAGAAAATATTAGAAAGACATAGTTGATGAGAAGAAAAACAGAAACACAGAATAGCTTCAGGAGGGCCTGGATCAATACCCAAAGGCCTTTTCTGTTCATTCAAAAGGGCTTTTTATAACAATGCCAAGGGGCAGGACAAAAGACCTCCCCCTTGCTAGATCAAAGCACACTGCACAGCCAAGTGTAGAACCTTCCAAACACCTGGCAACCACATCCTCAGTCAAATCATCCCCTTATGCAGCCCTGCTGGGTAAAGGAAGCTCGGATTCTCGAACCCTGAGTAAGTTCTCATTAGGAAACCTCTGTGGGTCTCCACACTACCCAGAAGTTGAGAACCACTGGTCTTGGACATCCTCTCCAGTGGGGGGAATGCTTTGGAAGCAAGCTTGGCCTGCATCCACTGTGAAATCCTTTAGCTGTGGCAGAGTGGGAGGATGGCATTTTGGACGTTCCAGAAGGTCCTTGAGAGCACTGGCTAGCTCTGACTAGGTGGGCATGTGTGAGTCCATCCATGTTGCCAATTGCTGAAGCTACAGGCACACAGTGGTCAGTTTCAAAGTCCCCTTGCCAATATGAATCATTGCGGAGGCTGGAGACAGCAGTACAGTTCTGGGGGCCACTTCAAAAGCTCACACCGAGATAAATATAAAGACTCCTTAGAGGTACACTCAGGGCTGGCATGGTGGCACATGCCTTTAATCCCAGCACTCAGGAGACAGAGACAGGCAGATAGATCTCTGTGAGTTAGCCTGGTCAACATAGTAAGTTCCAGAACAGTCAGGAATATATAGTGAGACCCTGCCTCCCCCCCAAAAAAAAAAAAAACCAAAAAGAGAATATCCAGATTTGAACTGCGGACCCCTTAATCTGTAGTCAAATGCTCTACCAATATGCTATAGTGGGCTTTAGGTTTGTGTTCTCAGGGTTCACGGCTTTGGGCTGGTTCATCAACATATCAGTGCCACCTTGGGGTTGGTTCAGTAACATATCTTGCAAGCATCATATTATTCCAAGTCACACAAAATAGTTTTACACAAAATGGTTTCACTTCTGTTCCCGACAGTGGTGCTAAGCTTACTTTCTCCTTTTTATTTAGTCTAGCACTCTAACCTTCTGGAATGACACTGCCCACGTTCAAGGTGGATCTTCCAACCTCAGTTAACCTAATTTAGATAACCCTCACTGTGCCCAGAGATTTGTCTTCTAGGTGACCTTAGATCTATAGAATTGACAGTGGCAACCATCATGTGGGCTCAGTATAGACCTGAACCAGCAAAACGGGATCCTAGTGAGGAAGCTGAGACCTTCTCTGCTCAGAATTTTATGAGGTACTGGGAATGGTCTGCTGGCTCTGAGGCCGGGGGCAGGGATGACAGGGCAAGAACAAGAGTGAAGCCACACTTAGTCTCCAGGGAGAGCAAATGATGGACGACCTAGTGGAGCCTGGTGCCCATGTTGGGCCTCCCATGGGTGGAGCTGTATAGAGCTGTATGAGCAGGTCCTTTCCAATGCCTGCACTGGGGATAGGGGCATGTGGGGGCTATGCAGACAGTTACACTTGGTCCTCTAGGCACCTCATGACAGCTGCAGGTGGCTAGCAGGTGAGCAGGATCAGGTGAAGTCGGCTAGTTGTAAGAGAGGCTCATAGCAGGAGAGGGGGTGGGAATCTTGGTAGCTTTAAATGCTACCTGGTTTTTGAACAACCTGACTCAAAGAACGAAGCAGTTTTTCAAATAATAATAATAATAATAATAATAATAATAATAATGTCTTTTTATCCAAACTTTGTACCCTGGCTCTTGGTAGTTACAAAATACTTTACAGATGATCCTGAGGCAGGAAGGGTGCTTACAAAGCTTTTTAAAAATACTAACAAAGGGCTGGAGAGATGGCTCAGCAGTTAGGAGCACTGACTGTTCTTCCAGAGGTCCCAAGTTCAATTCTCAGCAACCACATAGTGGCTCACAACCTCCTATAATGAGATCTGGTACCCTCCTCTGGCCTGCAGGGACACATGCAGGCAGAACACTGTATAGATAATAAAATAAATATGTAAAAAAAAAATACTAACAAAGTCAGGCGGCAGTGGCACACGCCTTTAATCCCAGCACTTGGGAGGCAGAGCCAGGTGGATCTCTGTGAGTTTGAAGCCAGCCTGGTCTACACATTGAGATCCAGGACAGGCACCAAAACTACACAGAGAAACCCTGTCCCCCCCTCAAAAAAAATACTAACAAGTGGCTCCAAAGCTACTCAGAGAAACCATCTCAAACAAACAAACAAACAAAAAATACTAACAAGTCTTTTAAAGAAAATTTACAAAAAGAAAAAAAAAGGAGGCCCCTTCAAGATGTGGCTAAGCACTTTTTAAAAAAGGTACCAGTTGTACATGTGAAAAAAAAAAAGCTACATTATGGACCACCCACTCCAGACGGACAGTGCTCCTGCTTATACCTCTTTTACATGTAAAAACTTTTGTGGGGTTGGAGAGATGGTTCATCGGTTAAGAGCACTGACTGCTCTCCCAAAGGTCCTGAGTTCAATTCCCAGCAATCACATGGTGGCTCACAACCATCTGTAATGAGATCTGGTGCCCTCTTCTGGCCTGCAGGCGTACATGCAGGCAGAACACTATATACACAATAAATAAATAAAAAATTAAATAACTTTTGTGTTCAACATAAAAGAGCTCACAACATGAACATTCCTTATAATCTACAGTGACAGTCTATTGTAAAAAGAGCCTACAGATGTCTCAAATAACAATTAGAAAAACAAATAGGGGGGATTCTCTACCCACACCAATTCTCTAAGCAAGGCCTTATTTACATTAAAATTTTAAATTCTACAGAAGATGACCTCACTGTTCAAAGTAGCACTGGTCCAAAGGACAGGGGAGTAAAGCCTGAAGTACTCAGATGTCTTGACATAAAAATGGCTTGGCCCATCCCTGAAGCTAATGAGGAGGGGGGAAAGGGTATGCTTGTATCTTTCCTAAAGGTGCAGAACAGCAACTTTGAAGCCAATGAAGAGTCTGATTTCAGGTATAAAGTGGCTTGGGATTGGGACAACCTAGTGGCTGTATTTCTGAGATGTCTGGTGTGGGGGGCCCACCCCCACCTTTTCCAGGGTTTCTATGAGGAGAGAGGCATAAGGAATTAGTAGGTAGAAAGATAACAGAGATGAGACAGACAGACACAGGATACCTTCAGGAGGACCTGAATCAAAACCCACTAGCCCCTTCTGTCTCTTCTAAAGAGCTTTATAAAGGAATTCCAGGGGGCATGGCAAAAGATCTCCCACTTGCTAGATCAAAGCATACCACATATCCAAGTGCAGACCCTTCAAAAAACATTTGGTAACCATGCACGTGGTCAATCCATCCACTTATGCAGCCCTGCTGGGCAAAGCAAGCTCAGTCTCACTAGGAAACCTCTGTGGGCTCCCACAGGTCCCTCCTCTTAATATTTTAAAGAGCCCCTCAGACCCCTCAGATAGATTGTGTCTACCTTAGGTCGTTTTCTTCAGTTAGACAAACCTTACCTGTCATGGAGATATACTTCCTACCAAGCATACTCTTGTCTTTGGTTGGCAGCTAACAAG